CCTGAAGAAAATAAACTAGCCTATGTGGCAAACACGCATTTATGATACTAATATTTTCAGCAGGATAATCTCATATTAACTCCACTTTGTGATTTTTGAAGCGTAAATGCAATCACCAGAAGTAAAAATGCTAACGCGGAGCTACATCGTCACATGACTTCACGTCGCCACCGCTAAGCTAACAGCGGCTAATGTTTGACATGTTGGTGTTGAAAAGACTCATTCAGAAATTTGTTCGCAACCACTTGCTTTTAAAACACATTCAGACGTTCACCTGTCGGATTTTTACTAATGGATTTTACGTTGTAGAACTAAATGTCAACATTTCTTAAGAGACAAGGGAACCAGAAGTGCTAAAAAGCGTACTATTGTCCAGATTCAGGACTCATTACCGCACCACACTATGACACACATATGCTTCAGTTGTCTCCATGTTGATTGCACAAGCAAGGAGGAAAACAGAGGGAGAAAACACACAAGTAATTTGAGAATGTCTGATGTGTGAATAAAAGAAAGACAGTCTGATAGAACGAGGGAATGAACTCTTTTTAGAGTTGAAGGACAAACAGTGTTATGAAAGTTTGAGAGCAGACAGAAAAACAAGCCTCACAAACTGCTTGTGCTCAGTCTGCATTTGAACGCCCCCATACCTGTCTCCTGGGAAACCGGTGTGCACAAACACACACACATTCCTGTTCTTCTATCTTTGTGATCATTGACATGCATTACCTAGCCCCTAACCCGAAACTTAACCAACACAAATAAATACCTTACCCTGACTTAAAGTGGCCCTATTATGCTTTTTGGGGTTTTCCCTTTCCTGTAGTGTGTAGTGATTTTGTGCATGTAAACCGTCTGCAAAGGCTAAAATCCATAAGTTCCCTCCAAAGGGGAGTTTCTCTCCCACAAACTACCTGAAATGCCTCCATTGGACTCCTTTGTTTACTCCTGTAACAGTGACAACACTATTTGAAACTCGCACTTCTATTGGCTAGTGCTGAAATAAGTTGACTTTGACATTGAACGCTAAAAGGCTCCAAGTGGTTGTCCAATCACAACAGAGCCGGCCAGCTAACCAATCAGAGCAGACTGGGCTCTGGTTTCAGACAGAGGGTGAAAAGAGGTGCTGCAGCACAGGCAGTATGAGAAAAATAAAGAGCTTTCTGAACATTAAAGCATGGAGACATGTCACAGGAGTAGAGACACTACATACCAACATGAACCTGAAAATTTGCAGAATATGTCGTCTTTAAATCTCAACTCTCAAATAGCCCTTTGGAGAAACAAGGACCGGTCAAAAATATCCTCAATTTCTAAAAATGTCCTCACTTTGTCAGTGTAATTAACTTGTCCTCATCATGCACCAATAACAAGACACACACACACAGATGCCTGAAAGAGCTGAGGAGTGAAGCAAAGACAGAAAGAGAGGTGGGGCAATGAGTTCACACACTCCACACACACACACCAACACACACACACACACACACACACACACACACACACACACACACACACACACCACACACACACACACACACACACACACACACACACACACACACACACACACACACACCACACACACACCACACACACACCACACACACACACACACACACACGCATCTCTACTCCTCCACTCGCTGTGTTTAGGTTGCATTGAAACTTCAGCCAATATAATGCCTCTGTTCTTGTGATGTCGACCAATGAGAACGCTGCATGCTGACACACCCACAAGAGGGTGTGTGAGGCGCTGCTGAGGTAGGATGGAGAATGTGTGTGTGTGCGCGTGTGTGTGCGCGCGTGTGTGTGTGTCAGTCAGAGGAAGCTCCCAGCAGTTTCTGATATTTTGCTGATGTTGGTCCTTTGGGGGAAGCAGAGAGGCGGCCGAACCCCTGACTGTTGCTGCTCTCACCGTGAAACAGGAACACACACTCCGTTCATGTCAGCAAAGATTTGATTACACATGGGCATACAGGAATTCAAAAGACACACACTGACACACACACACACCCTTGCCAGCTCTTTGAGGGCAGAGTCATGAACGGTCAGCATGGAAAATGTGTCTCCCGCGGTCAGCTCTGCAGCAGAGGAAGCTGAACTTTCCTCCATTTTATCACAACCAGCAGCTTCATTACTGGGCTGCCAAAATGGAGGCCTGATGGAGTCCAGTGACGATTAAAGGGGCAGATCACACAAACTGAACCCAGGCACAACAGCACAGGAAACACTAACATGAGAGCAGCTCATTAAGGTGAGCGAGCAGTTTCTCCAGGCAGTGAAAGCAGCAGGAAACGAGGAGATGGAGGAGGAATATCAACAAGGAGGAATCAGCTGAATATCTAGGCTGTTCTTCACTGTTTGTAGTGGAAAAGTAAAGCTCTCTTATTAGAATACAACCCACGTTATCTGGAAGCAGGAGGGCTTCCTGTCAGGATGCCAGGTGAAGTAGGCTGGTATAAACAAATAATACATCAAACAAACACGTTTTTCACAAAGGAAACAGCTGTCTGTGTATCGGGAAGAAAACTGGTTACAGTGACTTATTTTAAGTAATTTTTTTACATACTATCAATGTATAATTTACGTATGAATTTAGAGCAAGTTGGTTAGCTTAGCATAAAGAGTGGAAACATCTAGCAGGACTGTTAGCAAAGTTAACAAAAAGCTCACTAACTAAAATTCTCAATTCCAGTAGTTATGCTCAGCTAACACATCTGACATTAGCCTAACATGACTGGTGTCAATCTTCTCATCTGACTATTGGCAAGGAAGTAAATAAGCGCTTTTCCCAAAATGTTAAATCTTTAAGTATGTAACTGCTGATCGACTGCTAATGAATGACTTAAGAGAACAAAACCTGCCAAAAAAAGTGGGACGACAGGATAAAGTGCAGTATTTTAGCATCAAGAGAGACTCACATAAACACCAAAGGTACAGTTCCATCTGTTTATTGATTAACTATAAAATATTGAGTTACTAAAACAATTTGAAAGAAACACTGATAAACGTGGTTGCTGTCTGTAAAAAAAAAAAAAAAAAAACCTTACACATACAGTATAGGGTGACAGAATATATCATGATTCAGATTCATCTCTAAAATGTATTCATTTTTTGCATTTTTACAAGATTAGACATGTGTACAAAGTATATTCTGATAGCTTTTTACTCCACTCGACAGTGAAGGATCATTTACAAAACGTAGAGGATTTTTTTAATATTTATTTTCAAAATAATCTTTTTTGTAGTCTGTAACAGGACAATAACGATACTGAAGGAACAGCAGACGAAGAACCAGCCTCCAGTCCACCTCTCTCTCTCTGTCTCCCATTCTCTCTTATAGTCTCTCTCTCTCTTTCTCTCTCTCTCTCTCTAGCAGCTAGCTCTCTGCCTTTTAGCAGTATTGCTTGCGAGGTGTGGACGATTGTTCAAAGAGGGGAAGCAAAAGGGGGAAACTAATGACAAAAACATGCAAAAAGAAATATATATATATATACAAGAATTACAAAAATAAATCACAGCAAAACAAACATTTTTAAAGAAAAATGTGATAAAAAGAATTTTTTTACAAAGAAACAAATGAAAATGAAGGCGATAAGTGTTGATGTGTGTGTTGGACCCTGTTTGAAGGCCTAAGGCTGGGCTTTGGATGGAGATAGGGGCGCAAATAGAGATTGGAAGGCAATAACACACACTTTTAAGGTGTGTAAGATTGTGTATCTTATTAAACACACACGGGGAAAAAAAGTGCTTTAGCAGCTCGAGGGGTAAACAAACATTCATAACTTGTTCACTCTGCAAACACCGGCGCGACCTGTGTACCCATTACTGCTCAGATAAACCAGAGCAGATCCATTTTGTCCGACTGTCACTCAAGATGTTTTTGTCTGAAGAAATGTGTGTGTCAGCCTGAAGGAGAAGACGGGGGGATTTAGCAGATAGGATTTTTTGTCTGCCATCAATCGATCGAGTGATCTCAGAAAACACTACACTCTGTACCTTGGTAAATCACTTTCAATACTAGCAGCAAATTAACTTTTCCTTTACTGAAACGCTTCTATACTGGCAGACGTCTTTTTCCTTTTTAATCTGGGATATAAATCACATTAACATCTTGGGACGTCACGCAAGCCTTCACAGAGTAAAACATGATATAGACTATAATAAAACAACCAAGAGATCTCAAAAGAGTAGAACATATTAAAACTATTGAATATCAACAAGACAATCTTCAATCTCTGCGGCAAAGCAGAGAGAGGGCAACGTGGCACGAGAAAAATCAACATGATAATCACAGATATATACTATGCATACAATATACTGTATATAGATCTGATACAAACTCTATACACAATAGTGTAACAAAGTGGGTTAACAGCTCAGTAAACGGAGGGTTGTTTGGACTTTAAATCGCAAAGAAGAAAGGCATTTTGGGGGAAACCGCCAATCTGACCAATCAGCAGTCTTGCTTTGATGTTGGGGGCGGGACCTAAAGAGATTTGGCGAATCATCATAAGGCCTGGGAGAGAAAAAGGCCGCCCAAATGCTCACAACCCTGAGCACGACATTCAACAGTCTCACCCTAAAAAACGGTTAAACTAGGCACATTGAAAAATATTCATAAGCAGCTAAAAGAGGGGAGAAAATGTTTGTTTATCTTTATGTACGATCGGGGGGTTAGGTAAATAATTTAGGAAGACATACAAGACTCCCAGTCATTAAAAAGTGCACTCATTTCAAACGTGATAGCTCAGAGGGTCGAAATGTGATCGAACAGGGTGAAGATAGACGCCTAGAAGCAGAAAGTAAAAAGATATTGCTAAGACAGGACATTTAGAGGTTGAAAACACTGCAGCCAAGTCGACATGATGCCAAAGTGTGGAACTGTAAAAATTTAATTATGTTCATGATGGTATCACTGCTGGCAGCTTCATCAGAGATATGACCTTGATGCGGCTCGGACTGAAATGCTTACAACCTTGAAGAACAGCTTTAAAAAAAAAAAAGTTTAAAGAAAAGGATAAATCCACCCGACACTCAGCTTGTTCGGTCACTTTATGATCAAGTGTTTACTTTGCATCGTTGCCCATTTTTCCTACGTTTCTTCAGAATTCCAGCTTTGGAAACTGCGGTCTTTTTTGGGGGGGGGAAATTACCCAGAAGTACCTACGTGGCAGTCTTGATAAGAGCTGTTAGAAACTGTCTCTGCCAGATCAGTTCCAGAAACCCTGATTTGTTCTGCGTTGGTGCGAAAATGTCACTGCTCTGGTTTTACAGCGTTGTTAAAATTGAAATCTTGAAGGTGGTAGGGAAACCATTTTTGTCCTGATATTTCTTTTTACTTTTCGACCGCAGCCTGAATCTTGTAGCTCTTTTTGTCAAAGTATTGTTTTAAAAGCAAAAATGAGCACTCAATAAAATCCAGGACATTTGAACAGCAGCTGGTTTGATTGTGATCTCGGGTGGATTTATCCCTTTAAGACAAATAACTCAAGGATGAAAATGGGAAGTGCTTTTAAACATATTCCTTCCTCTCTTTTTAATCCTGAGGGACAAACAGTCTGCCTGCGTTTAGTTAGGATTGTCACGGGGAGTTGAATCGGTTAAAATAAGTGTTTTATTATTTTAAAAATCTGTTTAAGAGCTCTCTGTAGGACAGCAAAGGGTACCTCTGTCTCTTCCTGTGCGTCTGTTTCTCTGTCTGTCGCTCCTGCTGTTCTGTACATTAACATGACTGTAACGTGACTGTAACACCACCACGGCAACATCATAACAACCGTCTCTCTTCATCATTCACAGTTCATTAAAGCTTCTCCACTGTTTAGAAAAAAGTACTCTGACATAAATCTGTTACATGAAAATAAAACACGTATTTGTCCTCTATATAACGTGTGTGTGTGTGGATTATTTACACGTGTGTTTACGGGGAGTATATTTACAGTAAAGAGGCTGGTGTGTGTGTTCAAGATTTCCCACCAACACAGCACCAGTAAATGTAAATAGAGAGTGTGTGTGCAAAAGAGACTGATGTCCTTGTAATACTGTCTATAGTGTCTCCTTTTCTGTAGTAGAAGGTGTGTTTAACAGTCTGTCGTGTTGTCATTAAAAGATCCATCATGATTCAGTGTTGGACTCATGATTTTGGGAGTTTGTGTGTGTTTAGCAGATGACTGGGACTCCGTCGGTGTTGAAGATCATGCCGGTGGTGGGTTCGTAGGTGCCGGCCAGGTAGTAGAGGTCCTCGCTGTCGGCGTACTTCCGGGTGAGGGTCATCTGCTCGTACTCCTCCACGCTCACCACCAGGCACTTGTGGCTCACCGTCTGCACGTCGTTCTCGTCGCTGTGGGACGACTGGTAGAGGGCGCGCTGTGGAGGTAACACAGGATTTTATTAGAAATAGCTACAGTGTAGTTATGTCGATGAAAGTCTAAGGTCACAGGCTCCTCCAACAGAGCAACACAATAAAACAGATTAAATAGTGCAAGTAAATACTACTAAAAACAAATAAAATAGAATTGAAATAGTACAATAATATACTTTTCATATAGTGTGGATCAAAAACATGCTACTTTTCTACACAACTAGATAATTCACTGCAATGTCTCGTGTCTTTGGAGTCCCAAACACGTTTGTGTTGTTCATTTAACTCCAATCAGATCATGGTAAGAGTAATGTATTAGGAAAAGGAATTGTATTAAATATATGCAAATAGTAATAGATTTGTTACTAATGTGACTTTAACTTCTTATGTTTAAATAACTACTTTAACTTGTTATTTTTATTTGATCTTTTATTGGAGATTTTACTTTTTATGTTTATATTAAATATCTTTATTTCTTTTGATTTCAAATCTTTATTTCACTTTCTTATGTTTTTATAAATATTTCCTATTTTATTTATTTCAGTTTAAAATGGAGCTTTCCCCGGGACATATACATATTCTTATTCAGAAATGTATTTGTTATTATAAATTAAAACAATAAAAAAAACTATTTTGTTGAACTATGAATATTGTGAAATTATTTATATAATAATAATACATTTTATTTGTAAAGCACTTTATAATATGTATAACATGATAATTAAAACGTTTTGATAGTTGGCCCTAAAAAAAGTAATTTTTCTTAACCTATTAAAGTTTAAAGTATAAAACAGTGAATAAATAAAGCTTTCCGTTAACACACCCATTGTCTATTAAGCTACTATCACTGTTCATTGATGTATTCAGGTATATATTCACAACATTTAACTACTATTTTAAATTGGACCTATCATGCAAAATTCACTTTTTAATGTCTTTAATACATAACTATGTGTCCCCGGTGTGTCAGGGAACTCACGCAGCATCAGAAAATAAAACCCTCTCTCTTTTCCTCCGTTCCCAAATCTCTAAAAACGAGGAACAACGGAGCTGATCCAGATTTGCGTCCGATATGACATAATATCTGAAATGTGGACCCACGGCCCAATCAGAAACGTTGCTATCAGAAACAATCCCCGACTGTTTTGGACGTAATATGGTCGGTGTTTACATTAGCATCGCTAACACTCAGAGCTAACCTGTACTGGAGAGCATGTGTGTGAAGAAGCAGGAAATAAAAAGGAACTCACCTTGTGGTATAACCGGCAAGAGAGAAAGCCTTTGAGCTCCATACTGTTTCAGAGAGAATCCTTGATAATCCATGATATGGCGTTTCATCACGGCAGTATTTAGTTTAGACAGTAGCTGCCGGGTCCCGCATGAGCTCAGACCCTCCTTTTTTATTTAAAGCTTTATTCCCAAATCAGCACTTTTGAAACAGGAAGTGAAATAGAGGGATATGAGGCATGGCTAGAATGGGTGATCTGTTTGGTATTTTGAGCAAAACACTTCATAGACATGTTTTTTATATATTTGTAATATCTGAGACCTATGCTATTGCCTACAAATAGCGTGATAGGTGACCTTTAAGTCCGTTTTGCACCTCCATATTTTCTAAGTATAGCTTCTCTCAGCTTTATGGTTATAATAAAATCTAACGGGGCTTTAAAGCTAGAAGATCAGAGGTATATAAAACGCTTTCTCTCTCACCTCCATGAAGTCTTTCCTCTTGATGGAGGAGTGCAGAGCTGAAGGTAACGACAGACCGCACATCTGATCCCAGTTCTGCAGAGGACAGAGTGTTAATCTTTTAAATGTGTGTTCAGTCTTTTACAGCTATGAAAGAATCGTGCATACAATCCTAAAAAAGTCTAATGGTTTTTTAATGACACAGCACAATGATAGATGCTTTGAGGAAATAAGAGAGGAGGAAGACTCTATTAGTTATGAGATTGGATTAAAATAAATCCCTTTCATTAATTACATTCCCTCACATTAAAAAGGGTTTGAAACCTCCACAAGATGAAAACAATTAACAAACACAAATATATTTGACTGAATAACCAATAAGAATTGTCTTACCCCCAGGAAGTGCGCCATCAAATTTTAATCAACGATGTTTAATCGTTGAACATATGGTGGTGTTACTACAGCTTGACACGTGTCAGGCCAAAAATACTTTTTCCCATTGACTTACATTAGGAAAGGGACGTTGTTAAATCAGCGTATATATTTAACAACAATTATTGAAAAGCCCTTATTTAACTCATAAGGGACGAAAAGTTGTAACATTTAAAAAAGCCGAAACCTCCATTCCTCTCACCTGGCTAGACAGAGTGGTGGAGCTGATTGGGGGCGGGGCTTAAGGAAAAAGAGGTTATTTTGGCTTCATGCACCACAGAGCAACTTTTATTGGAATAAACAGGATCCCGCCTCAAAGTCTTTATATTAAAGCAGCACTACGTCACTACCCCAGTTTAATCATGCCTAAAAGCTGCTGTGTCGCGATTTGCACGTAAAACAACGAAATTATCCGAAGTTCAGGTTTTCTATACTTTAAGAGAAAAGGACAATGAAGGAAAGATCTGTGGCATCAGGACATCCAGAGAGAGGATGTACAGGTTGTGACCGGATCATTTCATGGAGTTTTTTGACGCCTACTGTTAGAAAAATATCACTCGTCACCGGCTTGAGCTTCAATAATCAGGATCCATGTATTTATTATCCTCCCAAGAATGGCAGTAGTCATCACATACAGAGCATTTGGTACAACTAGTTCCTGAACTGTGTCCTTCACATGCTGATATACTGAGAGGGAGTTACACAGTCACAAGATGGAGGAATACCGGTTCAAAGCAGTATACAATGTTTAGTTCAGATTAGCTAAGACCTGCGTAAGCAATAAACATGACAGTCATATGTCTATCTCCCTAGGGCAGGGGTGGCCAACCCGCGGCTCTCGAGCCGCATGCGGCTCTTTGCCTAGTTTCATGCGACTCTTCAGTTCATATCGAATTTTATATGTGTGAGTTTGGGGGAGAGACACTGACTCCTGACTAGTGTTGCATGGTGTACCGATACTTGAAAGGTATACCGCGATACCCTGCCGTTAAAAACGTTACGATTCCTCCGTTTCATTAGTATCGGTACTTTAAGAATGACGGGGAAAAGTACTCCGGTGAGAAAGCGCCGTTTTAATAAGAGCCGTGTGTGTTCAGCGCTCTGCTTCCACTCCCTGCTCTGCAGCTGTGCCTGCAGTCCCGCCCCTCTCAAGCACGCTCTAAGTCCCTCCCCTCTCAAGCACGCTCTAAGTCCCTCCCCTCTCTCGTGCACGCGCTAGCTGCCAGAGCATGTGAGAAAACCAGAAGCATGGCTGCAAGTGGGAGTGCAACTGCCGCTGCGCCTCGGCTTGTTGAGAAAAAAGACGCCAGAAGCGAAATGTGGAAGTATTTTAGCTATATCTCTGACAGTGAGGGCAAGCCTACGGACACCACGAGGCCCGTCTGTAAGAAATGTATTAATTTTATTTAATACGAATTCTTGTCATTTATTTTATTTATTGTTCTCATTGTTTAAAAGTTTGTGTTATGGTTCTGGTGTGAACTAAAGCACAATAATTACATTTAAGACTGTTTCCCTTTTTTTAAGAAAAAGAATCGGAATCGCAATTCTTGACTTGGTATCGAAACCAAAATGTTGGTATCGTGACAACACTAGCTACTCCTGACAGTTAAACCTGATATTTAGTAGGTCTGTTAAGTATTGAATGCTGATAATTCTGACGTAATTTGGCAGGTCAAAGTTGTTCGGGCTCGGATAAAATAGCTCCGTTACTTTCGTCCCGTGTTACTTTCGTCCCGTGTTACATTCGTCCCGGCTCTCCCTACGTGTGTATGTGTGGTGTCAGGTGTCAGTATGAGAGGATGACAGCGTGTCTAATTTTGATGTGGCCCAAGAGCCAATCACAATAATACCTGCGATGCAGTGAACCAATCACCTTTGAGGGGGGGGAAACCTATCGTTGATTAAACACTATCCAGTGTTTCCCCTACCATTGACTTGGAGGGGCGCTGCGCCCCGCCAACGGAGCCCCGCGCCCCGCCAACGGAGCCCCGCACCCCCCCCTGGAATTCAAGGTGTTATATATATAATAAAAAAAAATATATATATATATAGCACCAAATTGCAAATAATCTATAACTACTGTCACTTTTCACATTGAACATGTGCTCTTTTATTAAATAAACTAAACGCTTTCATCTTAAGTTGTGGGTTTAGTGTTTTTGACCCTAAGAAACACTGATGCATTAATCAATAACAATAATCCACAGCTCCTCTCTCTGCTCCAGAGGATTTAAAAAATATATCCCAATGCCACAAAAATGCATCAGTGACGTGGTTGAAATCTTGTCTCCAGAAAACAAAAAACTGAAACAAGCGGTATCAGTGACTGTGTGTTTGATGTGGCTCTTAGTAACATAGAAAAAATGTGGCTCTTAACCTCTGACTGGTTGGCCACCCCTGCCCTAGGGGCTGTCATCTTGTTTAATCGTTAGCTATCGTATGTTCAACACGGTGTCTCATGAGCTTCTTCTATGTAATCATACATCCTGTCACGTACACAGTTGCGTAGGGCCTTTGTTATCATGTGTGACTCTGATATTGGAAGAGTACATTCAGTATTTTCCCAACACCAACCTTCTTGTCGATGAGTTTCTTGCCGGGGTTTGTCTCCTCAGGGTGGTAGAACCAGTTGACCCGGACCACCATGTTGCTGCCCCACGACTCCCACATGCTCTGGATGCGTCCGATGAACGGTAAGTTGGGTCGTCCGGCAGACAGGAAGACGGCGCAGTCTCCGATGCGGATCATCTCCTGGCCGCGCACGATGGCCTTATAGAAGAGCTTCTTCGCCTTGCCTTTCATACCCCGTCTCTGTGGGGAGGAGAGAGACAGGTCAGAGAGAGAAAACGAGGGGGGGATTTGGTACATTAGGGGCCTGTGTCTACATAGTGCCTTTTACTGGCAGGGTTGAAACGCTCACAGCTGTTTTTTTATTGTTTCTATGACATATGGTATCTTGACAGTGTATTACATGACATACTTGCTTCTACCCCATGGATTGTTTTGTCTGTTTCTGTTTGTTTGACATCGGTTTTTTCAGCATTACAACCAACAGGAAGATACTTGCTCTCAAACTTTGTCTGGATAAGCTTAACATTTTTAGTTTTTGGTCTTCACAATTACATATTTTGTTCATTTATTAAATGTAACTTTGTTTTGTTTTTCACCTGGACCCTACTTTCGCATTTTTTGTGTCTAAGTACCGTTTTTTAAAGGGCTTCAGAATTGAGGAATGAGCAATGTGACTCATAATAAGAAAAGGACCCTGATGTTATTTATATACCCTATACACTTGATTTGCTCTGTTTTCATGCCTAACCAAGTCTCAAACAGCAAGAAATCTCATGTTGCTTCCACATAGTGGAAATATTCAGTCATGAGATTTTAAATCTTTTAGACGCTAATTATATAACTTCTGTACTCCCAGACAACAAACTTTGACAACGGTGATACTCCTCTCTCCAAACTCTCTAAACTGACAAAGAACCTTATTTTTTATAAAATAACATCATTGTTTGAAACAGAAAATCCTCTCAGCCATAGCAGTCAGGTATTAATGAATTAAGGAATAAGTAATGAAAATGACATATTTGCACCGTGTACATGTGAAGTATTTGAAACAAATGCATTTATGTTGCTTATAAAGTGATAAAGTCGGACAAATAGATTGAATATTAATTATAAAAATCTGTTTTGCCATCAAGCTCTCTGATTGGATGTTTGTTGCCATGGACACACATGGCACCAGGACCAATGGAACATTTGAGTTTGACCTGGAGTTCTAGAACTTTGGTTCTCATGACAACCGAGCACTGAACGTAAACAGGAAGGCTCTTCTGAGGACTTCAATCACTCTACAGCCAGCAGTCAGCCATAGACACGCATTCAGTCAGAAACCAGTCAGTCTAACAAACACAACACACTGCTTCGTCAGGCAACTACACTCTTCTACACTCGCACAAGTCTACACACTGTGCCATGGACAGACGAGGCTTCCAGCCCAACAGGGGGAAACCTGTGGATCGCGTGGAACTCGCCTGCAAGCAGATCCACTGCAGCAACGGGAAGATATCTGGCCTGACTGAGTTATACGCTGAGTATCACAGAGAGAGGAATACATTTTGCCACAGGGTGCGAGCAGAGAAAGAAAAAATCAAACATCTCGAGGAACTCCTGGATTACAGGGACACAGGATTTTCCGAAGAGCATATAAAGCAGTTTGACACCATCATGGAGCGTGAGGAAGACATCTCATATCTGAGGGAAAGTCTGTGCCAACAAAGCCACCAGCAGACATCCGACAGCCAGAAACATGGTGGTCTCCTGCAGGCCAAAACAGAGACCGCAAGAATGCTGATGAGGAAAGGGGAAGATCTCCTTCAGTTCATTACAATCTTGGAGGATAAATGCAGCGCTGAGAAGGAGAAGATGGAGGCGGAGAGCCAACACAGGCAGCAGCTGGACGAGATGATCACAAGTTTTGAGGCAGAGAAAGAGATCTCAGACCAGATCAACAAGGAGAAATCCGACAGCCTGGACAAGGAGAAGTTCCTGCGACTGGAGGCAGAGAACACCAACGCTGAGCTCCGTCAGAGCATTACTGCCTGGCAGCTCGACTGCAGCTCTCTGCAGAAGCAGGTCCTCAAAGAAGTGGCTCTGAAACAGAGCAGGGAGGCTGAAGTCCAACAGCTGGAGGCCAGATTGAAGGGGCAGGAAGAAATATTCTTCAAAACACCTGGCCGAAAACCACCAGAGATGGATCAGGAGAAACAACTGGGAGAACAGCAAAAGTGATCTTCAAAATGCAAGAAACGGAGAAGAAAAAGATGGAGGAACCTGAAGCGACAGCCATATTTTATTTTGAATGCTGCCTGCATTAAAAATAAAATTAAAATAAATACATTTAATTACAAAAATAAAAACTTCCATGTCAGTCTCTCTGAGCGAACATGTACTGTATACGGTAATTATTATTATTATTAGATATGTTGGGGACTAAACTATATACCGTTATCTGTTTCGTTTATTATGTGAACAACACTGAGTTTAATGAATACAACATCTAATAAGAGATGTATGTAAAGATAGATGCAGGTCTTTTTATATTTGTCTCACTAAACAGGTTCATTTCATACAAGCTCTTAAAATATTCAAGTTATAAAAGCACATTTTCAAATGATGCATTTCTAATACACTCAGTATTTTAAATTGGCATATTTGAAAAAATACAATATTTAAATGTGTTTATCTCTTTACACAGAGGGGACACATGTTGATGTAGAAGAGACAAGAACAAGTGGGTTTTGCATAATAGGTCCCCTTTAAGTACATTAAACTAACTAAGTTTTTTTCTTTTATGCTACTTAATACTTCTACGTCAGGTGCCTTGCTCAAGGGCACCACGGCAGGGCCCAGGATGTGAACTGGGACCTCTCCAAGTAGCAGTCCACACTCCATATTCAGGTCTGTTCGGGGACTTGAACCGGCGACCCTCCGGCTCACAGTCCAAGCCCCTACTGACTGTGCCACTGTCGGACTTGTTCCACATCTGGAATGTTCTATCTACTATTCCTCAATCTCAATCTTTATTTATTTATATATATATAGCACTTTTAAAACAACCTCAGTTGACCGAAGTGCTTTACAGGCAATAAATACAATATCAAATCACATAATGGGAGTCAAATAATTCCTCACCTGAGTGGGTTTTCCGAACCACTTCCAGAGTTGTCGGGCTGGAAGGAACGCAGATATTTTGGGTCTGTTCTCCACGCTGGGGAGCCGCTGACGTTTGGCCAGCTCCTTGGTGGTGGGCATGTGGACCCCCTCCCTCCTCTTCGGCCTGCCCACCTTCCCCTCCCCTCCGCTGGGCTTCGGTTTGGGAGGACGACCCCTCTGCCCGGAGCCTTTCCCGGTCGCTGGTTTCACAGGTTTGACGGGAGCAGGAGGCGTCGGAGAGGACGAAGGAGAGGGAGATTCTGAAGGAGGCGACATCTCTTCTTCTTCCTCCTCTTTCACCACCTCCTTCTTCACCACCTCCTTCTTCACTTCCTCCTTCTTCACTTCCTCCTCTTCCGGTTCTTCTTTCGCTTTCTCCTGTACTGGAGGAGGTATGATTGGCACTGAAGGAGGGGTGGAGGTCCTCTCTTCATCCGAGCTGCAGGAGGAGTCATCGGTGGACGAAGAGGACGAGGACGAGGACCCTGATGAAGAAGATGAGGAGGAACCGGAACAAGACGAAGAAGAGGACGAGCAACTGGAGGTGCATTTCTTCTTCTTCTTTTTCTTCTTCTTCACCTTGTCACGTTCCTCCTCCGACTCTGAGCTGCTGCTGCTGTGAGATTCCTCCTTCTTCGCCTTCCTCTCTACCTCCTTTTTACCTTTGTCTTCCCTCGTCTCCTGTCCTCTTCCACGGTTCTCCGACTTCTCCTTTGTTAGAATCGGCGCTTTCCAGTGAGCGTCTTTCTCTGGAAGAACACACTCTCTATCAACTCTCGGTTTCACCTTCATCAGCTTCTGATTGGTCGAGGCGATCGGCGTGTGATCTGCTCTGACGTTCCGACCCTCCAGCAGCATCAGAGCTTTAGTCTTCTTGGTTTTTGGAGAGGTGACGCCTTCGTGGTCCAGCTTCACGAGAGGCTCTGCCGGTAAAGACTTGCGCCTCATCAGAGAGTCCCCTTGTCCGGAGCTGGATATGGGCCGCGAGACGGCGCCGGGTCTGGAGGAAAGATGGTCGGACGCCATCTTCAGTTTGGGTCTGGGGGCGGAGGATGACGATAAAGAAGGTCTGGAAGTCAGAGGTTTGCTTGATGACATTCTGGAGATGGAGCCGGGTATGAGTCCAGAGCCGGATATGAGTCCGGAGGCGGGTATGAGTCCGGAGCTGTGGCTCGATCTGTGATGCTCCGAGGAGGGTTTGGTTTTGGGCGAGGAAACTGAAGAGGGCCTGGATGAAGACTTGGGTGATGTAATATTGGGTCTAATTAAGGGTCGGTTTGAGGTGGGACTGACCCCGTTTTCTCGATCTCTGCGCTGGTTTGTGTACGAGCTGAGGTTGGGTTCACTGTACAGATCCACCTTCAGGACCTTTCCGTAGGTGGAGGGGTAGAGGGACGGAGGCAGAGAGCGGGATTGTTTAACCGCAGAAGGTGGGGGGGCTTTCCTGGAAATCGGTTGTGGAAGAATAGGGCTACTTAGTGGGGACGTAGTGGAGATTTTGCGGCCCGGTTTCTGATGGAGTCCTATCGTGGGGCGTGATGCGGGACGAGGTTTCTCCGGAGAGTTCTTCTGCACAGAGGAGGGTCTGTCCTGGGGAGGCTTGGGTGGAGGCGGGGGTCTCTCTGCGGGCGCGCTGGAGGAAGACGGAGGATCAGCTTTCTCCCGGACGTCTGGGTTCACGGAGGTCTCTGAGAGGAAAAACAATACAAAGGTTAGACTTTACTGGAAACCATGATGTTTTCTTTCTGTGGTGACGGGATTTTTGTGGTTGTATGTGGAGAAAAGTAGAAATTATGAAATAGGAAATGATTCTGAAAACTTCTGAAGAACTGCTTACCAAGTGGAAAGAAAGATAGAACAAAAACACATAGCTGATAATAGATGGAGAACATGGATTGAATATGGAAAAATAAATACAACTTTAATACGGCCAAAACAATGAGCACGTTTTCCATGCAATCATTTTCAGTTCTGCTTACTGTATGTCTGCACATGTACGTTATTGCCTATGTATGTATAAGTATACAGGTACGTGTGTATGTGTATAAGTGAACATTGGTACAAGTGGGTATATATGTGTGTATGAATGTATATTTAAAAGATCATCCCTCTTCATTTTTGACCTTTGGTGAAGTATGAATTGTATAAATTGAAGCAAGGGGTGGCTCTGGGACTTTTGTGGTGATGTGCGGAGAAAAGTAGACAAATGAAGGAGACGATTCTAAAAATGAAAGCATTGCATCGAAGAACTGCTTAGTCAGTAGAAACAAGACGAGCGTCAGCAAATTAGACACAACACATCCCTTGTTAGAGGAACAGACTCTGGACAACAACGGAGGTCTTCATTAAAGTGACAACAGAGATGACAGTCACAGTCAAGTATGAGATGTTTGATGAAAGATCTTTCTGAGTGTGGAGCTATTTCTGTTTGGGTCTGATGTTTTCAAAAGATTAATCAAAAGTCGACGGAAAAGCATATTTGATTTGACTTCTTTAAATGGTCTTTATGATAAATAGTTTGTATAAGGACATCAACAATCTGCATGTTACTATCAGTATTCCTAAAAATGGAGAAGAAGTAGGGCACACATTGTCCTCGATGTGAAATACATCTCTCTTTAATACGAGGTGTTGACCAGTGTTGGGACTAACGTGTTACAAGTAACGCGTTACTGTAACGCCGTTACCGTTACTACATGGTGCGTTACTCCGTTACTGCGTTAGTTTTTTTATATAGTCAACAGCCAGGCGAACAGAGATGAGAACTGTACTTAAGTACAGTACTTGAGTAAATGTACTTAGATACTTCCTGTGTCACATGCGGAGACGGGCTGTGGGCGTGTTTGTGTTGTTTACTAACAAGACTATCATGGCGGCGGCGGCGGAGCTCAAGTCTAGTTTCTCCACCTGGAGATATTCTCACTATTTTACTTTTGTCGAGCACAAAGAAAAGAAAGTTTCTGTTAAATGTAAGTTGTGTCTTGGCGGGTCAGAGATCCTATCTACTGCCCAAACCAGTCATTCAAATCTCTTAAAACATCTGCAAAAACAACATGCTGGGACGAAGCTAGTAGCTAAGACCACAGAGACTCAGCCGACGCCACTCCACCTCCACCTAAGCAACAGCGGCTGGATTTTAACCAAGGGACTGCTGGCCAGGGAAAAGTCGATAAAGCCATTGCACGGTATGTTGTAGAACACATGCAGGCTATTGCTACAGTGGAGTCACCCGCTTTCAGGGAGCTAGTTAGCATGATAGCATGTCCGGGCGGCACACGGCATATGGGACGGAACACTTTTTCCAACTACCTGGAGAAAGAATATACAAAAATGGAAAGCCAGCTAATATCGATGCAATCCAGATTGCATATAATGCATGTCAAGTTGATCAACAGATTGTATTATTCTCCAATGCAATAACAGTACTGAAATGAAGGCTATAAGGGCATTAATGGGAGCCCTTTTTCAAGTAACGAAAACGTTACTTTTCACAGTAACGCATTACTTTAGGATGTAAGTAACTAGTAAAGTAACTGAGTTACTTTTGACATGAAGTAACTAGTAATGGTAACTAGTTACTGGTTTTCAATAACTAGCACAACACTGGTGTTGACACATTTGGCCAGAGATGTCCTTTACTGGTCCCATTAGGCGCTTTCACACCGGAGTACTTTTACCCGTACTTTTCCCTTTAGTTCCGATAGTTCCTGGGATTTTGCGTTCAAACCAAAACGAGAACTTAGTTCATGAGAACTTTTACCCCCCTTTTCAGTCCCTGCTAGAGAGGTGGTACTTTCCTGGGGAGAAAAGGGTTCCAATTTCTGATTGGCAGGGCGAATTGCAAACCACGCCCCGTAAAACTCGGAAACGTTTTTTGAAGTCGTATTTGCTTGCATTAGCATTATTAGCATTAGCCCCGCGCACCAACGGAGAGAGACTAACTTATGGCAACACAAAAGAAAACATGGGAGCGGTGGAGCGGTGGAGATGAGTAGGTGTCGGCGTTCTGGCGATTTACTCGGAAGGCTTCAGTAGAAGCTGCTGGGAGTCCCAGCAGCTTCTACTGAAGCCAGTCCCCAACTCCGGGGACTTCCGGCCGGGGACTCCGGGTGGCAGTATACGCCGTGAAGTGGTTTGCGGCCTGCCAGTAAACCCAAAGCAGAAGAAGAAGAAGTGACGTCAGCGGCTTCATTTGCGTAATCTTCCCTCAGGGAACTTATTCCGGTGTGAACGCGATCGTCTCTTTAGTTCCATGGGGGAACTAAGTGCTGGGAACTAAGTACGGCAAAGTGCTTGGTGTGAAAGCGGCTATTGAATTCCTCAAAGGAGAGAAGAAGGCAGCAAATCTCAACTAACTCTTATTTTTATTGTATTATTATTTTCTTTGTATTTAATCATTTTTATATTCTTATTTTTTTAATTCTTATTTAATTTATACATTTTATTCAGATTTTTAAGAGAGTTTTTAGCAATCCCAAAGTCATGTGTCACTTGGTATTTATTCCCAGGGAAGGGGACCATGGTATTATCTTCATTTTTTGTTTGTGAAGCACTTTGCGTTACCTTCTGTGGAATAAACTCGAACGTGATGGCAGTACAGTGTTACTAAGCAACCCCTCTTTTATTTCTACCTCCCTTAGGAAACATTACCTTTTCACTTTTTGATTATTCTAACAGATCTCAATCACTTCTGAGAGACTCGTTGTCCCTTCAGGTGATTTCACTGATGCATTAGAGTCGAGTGAAATTAGACTCAGAGGATATCATCTATTAGCAGGATGAGCAGCGGGTCGTGGGCTGGTAATAACAATTAGTGAGTTGAATAATGATGATACTAAAAGTCAAGCGTTAAGCCCAAATGAAGCAATAGAAGCTGCAGGAGAGGAGGAAGCGGTTTGCTCACCTGGTTTGGGTTTGGGTTTGCGACCAGGTTTCCCTTTGATCTTCGGAGCGCTATCTTCAGGTTTTGTTCCCGCTTCTTTGCTCTCTTTGCTGCATTTACGGACTCTCCTCCGGGAGCAGCTGGACACCAGCAGGGCAGGGGACGGCTCGGCACCTGGAGGAAAACAGAAGATTTAAACATTTGACATTAAAGAGGACATATTCTGCTCATTTTCAGGTGTATATCAGTATGTAGTGTCTCTACTGTGACATGTCTCCATGCTTTAATGTTCAAAGAGCTCTTTCTTTTTCTCATTACTGCCTGTGCTGCAGCACCTCTTTTCCCCCTCTGTCTGAAACCAGAGCCCAGTCTGCTCTGATTGGTTAGCTGGCTCTGTTGTGATTTGTCAACCGCTTAGAGATGTCCCGCCCCTTAGCCTATCATGTACAATGTGTTGGAGCCATGGATGTATAATAAGAACTGGATACAGCGTGGGAGACGGGGCCTCGTTCATTCCTATGAAAGTTGCTCATTGGCGCATGAAGACAAAATGGCCCAACTTTTGAGAGAGCGAAACGTCGCGAAAGTATTCATATAATCCGTTCTAATTGTGCATCCATGGGTAAAGGTAAAACTCATGTAGTACTGAACACGTCACATGAACGTGCCGGGCGGCGCGGTCCCGTGAGAATAACGTTATTAGCAAATTTTACAACTTGAGGATCGAATGTTTTTAATAAGGGCTATACAAATGTTCATACTGGGTAGTTTATTTAGTTTAAAAAAAATTATCCAACGATTTACAGACGTCTCTTTCCCCATGTTAGTCAATGGGAAAAAAAGTGTTTCCGGGCCCAGCCACTGATGCGGAAGTGTAGTACCGCCGTTTGGCCACAACGAATATTTTCCTCAGAGTCCGGCGCACTTCCTGGGGGCTTGGTTGGAGCGCTGGCCAATATAAGCATGAGTGTTACATAGTGGAGTAACTATTGTTAAAAGTAATCAAAGAAGTCCAATCTAAGCTTAAGGAAGTTTGGGACTTTAGCCTTTGAAGACTATTTACATAACCTATATAAACACACTTCAGGAAAGGGTAAACCTCAAAAAGCATGATAGGGCCCCTTTAACATTTCTCAAGCTTTCCCCATGACTGCAGCTACTCAGGCTTCTTAACAAGAAAAGCAGCACCTGAATATAGGCGTGTTCTTGTCTGTTACCCTCAAACCTCTCAATTCTGAATGATCAGATTGTGTCTTCTCTGTGCAGTCCTTCGTTAAATGTTAGAAGCACCTTGCTGGCAAAAAGGAAAATATTTACACCAGCTTCTGCCAAAGTCAACAGTAGCACCCACGGAGAAATACGACTGAAATATCACAAGGTGTTTTGAGTGCTAGATACATATAATTTGTATGTGCTTCATGTTGTTTCTCTCCTTTCGGAGGACATCATTTCCTCACTGTAGTTGATGTGGACAACCATTAAGGCTGAACCATGCTTAAGTGGACAACACACACACTTAGGAAGAGTGTTTAGGTATAGTATTTATAGTATATACACACAGCAGTTTAAAGAGTAGCTGTGTACCGGAATAGCTTTAAGATAGCGGCACTGTACTGAGAAAACACTTCAAATAGCAACCATGCAAACAGATAGACGTGATATTGTGTGTGTGTGTGTGTGTGTGTGTGTGTGTGTGTGTGTGTGTGTGTGTGTGTGTGTGTGTGTGTGTGTGTGTGTGTGTGTGTGTGTGTGTGTGTGTGTGTGTGTGCGCTCACAGTGGATCTTGTAGTCAGGCGGCAGCAGTCTGATGTGTGAGAGCGGGATGCGTCCTGTGTCTCCGTCGTCAAACTCCACCGTGATGAGATCATCCTTCTCGTCGATATCTGAACTTCCTGTTAAGGGTGAAAATAAAAAAAGACTCAAAAAAAAAAGTATCGGATTCTAATTACGTTCACTGAATGGAAATAAGAATACAAACCCATACCAAATATGCTCCCATTACTAGCTGGCCTTAACCCTTTTGCATTATACTCTGTAAAGATCTATTATATCATCTTGTGTGTGTGTGTGTGTGTGTGTGTGTGTGTGTGTGTGTGTGTGTGTGTGTGTGTGTGTGTGTGTGTGTGTGTGTGTGTGTGTGTGTGTGTGTGTGTGTGTGTGATGCTGGCTCTGTACCGTTGACCACGGAGCCGGGGTACAGGCAGCGGTACTGCTGGCTCCAGTAGGCGGCGATGCGTGTTCCCTCAGGAAGGTAACGGACAGACGGAGGCTTCACATCGATGATCTGCACACAAAAATCATATACATTATTGCACAGGTCAAGCCATATGCATGTAACCAGTGGTGGAGTTACTACGTAGACATATAATAAGTGACCATAATTAAGTACATTTTTGAGTATTTCCATTTTAAGCTACTTTATATATTTCTACTTCACTTTCATTTGGTGGCAAAAATAGTTTTTTTTAGTACTCAAGTAAAATATCTGAGTTATTTTTCCCCACTGCATGCAATCCTTTTATTTTCCAAGTGTTTCACATTTCAGTTTTCACCAGAAACAGAGATGTGAATTGTGTTGACTCACAGCCTCCTGCAGCAGTTGTTCGAGGCAGTAGATGTGTGGTCGGTTCCCTCGCTCCCCCTCCACCACCACGCTGTATCTGCAGGGAGGAAATGTGGGAAAATGGACGGGTTAAACGTCTGGGAATCAGTGGGAAAGTTCACGTTTGTCTTTGCAGTGTACATGTGTATTTTCCAGGGAAAGCACTCAACCGGTATCTGGATTATGACTGCTTTGTGGGGGGTGGGGGATGTGTCGTTTATAACTAACAAACACTGCAGTACTTTGTCAAAAAATACTTTTCAGACCATAGCACTGTTAATACCTGAATCCCCCCTGGAATACTAATCCCGTCTGAACAGGGTTTAGTGGGTTTGTTTTCTTTTAATGAGGCCACTCATTAGATTTTAATGTTTATCATAAAATGTTTATGCAGGTTTGTGCAGTTTTACAGGAATAGTTTGACATTGTTTGGGATAACATGCCTATGTTTTAATGCCCAGAGTTAGATGAGAAGAGTAACACATACGACTGTATGGTTAATATGAAGCAACCCGCAGCTGATTAGCCTAGCTTAGCACAACGACTGGAAAAAAGCTAGGTAATGGCCTAGCTTAAAATGTCTTGTTTTGACAGCGCAAAACATATTGACATAAAACAGAGAAAGGCAGGACAACTCCATATTTGAGAGGCTGAAGGCTTTCTTTCTGACATGAAAAATTACTTGGTGAATAATTTCTTATTTAAAAAATGGATTAGTAGTCAGCTAATCGTTTCAGCTTTATTTTAGCATTCAATCAATCAATCATCAAAGCTTTTTAACTGTGGTTCGCACCTGCAGAGAGCCTAAAATATTCTCTCCTTTACTTTTATTCTCTGGTGGCTTTCCAAGCGCGCGTGCAGCTAAATCAGGCACTACTAAAGTCAAGGACACCAAACTTCAGCTGGAACCAAAATTGGAGCATACTGATTGATTCGCTGCTTTTAATAGTGCCACCAGATGTGTGTGTCCACTATTAAAGGCTCCACTGTGTCTTTTTGTTTTACCCTCTGAGGTTGAGATGTGTACTCACATGTCGGGGGAGTGTACAGTGTTCACGTGTCCCGCGTACAGGAGCTGGTCGTCCATCGGGATCAAAACTTTGAGTCCGTCCACCAGCGAGTCCTTATCCAACACACACTGCACCGGAGCTGAACACAACAGAACCATGCAGTATATAAGCATATTGTACAAGAAAACTGGATTCTGATTGGTCGATTTGGACATTTAGCGGTCAGTTACTTTAAAAAAAATCTCAAAATCTGCTACGGCTGTTCTGACTAAGGGACGATGTGCAGTCATATCAATCTGCAGAAAGAAGTTGGGTCACTTTAACATCAGCAGTGGCCAAAAAAAACCCACTAGTTTCTGTAAGTCTGTCAAATAACTGTGTGTTTATAATATTTATTTTCATATTTGAAAAGAGCACAACACGCTAGACAAAGGAAACGAGGACAAGTAAACAGAACAAGAGACGGAAAGAGGATAAAACACAGAGAGCTGAACACGAGAAATCAGCAGATGAAGACAGACAGGAAGTAAACACTAAAGGGAACAGCCGAAGAAGACAGACAGGAAGTAAATACTAACAGGAACACAGTATTCCCTCATTTTAAGTTACATTACTGTCTCCGTGCACAGCTGTTGTTCAGCCATTGCAGTAGAACTGACTATTGTTTGTTAGCTGAAGCTGTCAATATCTATTATTCCTTGTCTTCTTGTCTGTGTACTGACCCGGTGTGGAGACCCTCTCCGACACGCTGTTGCTTCGCGGTGTGACCAATTCGTCTTCGCTGAAGCTGCTGTCCTGGTTCGGCTCGAAGTCCTCGTCCGCCGCCATGCTCTCCATCAGCCGGCTCACCGCCCCCCTGGAAGGCTGCAGAGAAAACACACAAAGGCTTTGATTTCCTAGCAGTAAAGATCCAATAAATCACCAATAAGTCACATCTGTCTTAGAAAATATTTAATTTGAAACTTTTCTTTTGGAAGGGGCTCCTGTATTCCATTTCCGCCTTTAATTAATGTGTGTTAAAGTGTATATATTCAAAATATGGTCAAAGGTATTGATGAAGTATTGGGTTTATTATATACAATGTCTATCTGGAAACATCTCCTACAAGTTTAGTGATATTTTGATCTTTATTTCCGGAGATAAGTGCGATAAAGCAGATACGTTCCCCTTACATTTTCAACATTTTTAGTTAGGATCCAAACAAAACAACTAATTTTGCAGTAAAATATTCTAATACAAGCTATATTTTTTAAACTAGACATCTTAGACTAATGATAAAACATGGATGTGCTTTGCTCCATTGAAAAACTGAAGACTTTTTTTTGTATTTGTTCCTCTACTACTGCTATGTAAAGTTAATTTATTGCCGCTCACCAAACCACCAGACACACCGCAAACTTTTCAAAGATAAAAAGGCAACATATTACAACGCTTATGCTGTTTTATACACAATCTTCTTTATCTGATGTTCTGCCACCACCAAGAACTCTGCACACACACTCCGGCTGCCTGTAGTGTTTCCAAAACAAGCTGCAGTGTGTTGGTGGCAGATGGAGCGCAGAAATCACACTCTGAGAGGTTCACTTCTTCTCTCACCAACAGATCAGTGTTAATTACAGCAGCAACAACCTCCACACGTATTGTCACTGTGTGTGCGTGTGCGTGTGTGTGTGTGTGTGTGTGTGTGTGTGTGTGTGTGTGTGTGTGTGTGTGTGTGTGTGTGATCCTGACACATAAAAGGTAAAATGGATGTGTGCACATTTAGGGAACATCACTTAAATGTTCCAATTTTGTTCTTGCCAGGATAATTAACCCTTGTGCCTCATAGGGGACATTTTTTTATTTTTCAATCAATTAGGCTGTTAATGCATTTGGCACGGGATGACGTTTTCTTTTTAATACAATTTTGAACTCATCTTGTATAATAGCTCTAAACAAGTAAAATTATAATGGTAATCCCCTGGCTATTGAAGCATAAAGTCATGCATTCTATATCAGACTTTAGATCTGGATCCTTGTCTTGAAATGTGTTTTTATTATTATATAGATACAAAGCAAAAGAGTGTGTATATGTCGTTATTTATTGCAGTTATTGTTAGACGTAATAAAGCCTAAAAGAAAGGCAAAAGGGTTAGGTTCACATCCTTGATGACACAGCAGATTCTCACTGACCTCTCTGGGTTTGGGTCTGGCTTTGGGTTGGCTCTTGCGTTGCGGACTGAGGCTCAGAGGAGGAGGAGGAGGAGGAGGAGGAGTAGGAGGAGGAAGAGGAGGAGGAGGAGGAGGGTCTGAGAGGCTGCAGGGTGGAGCCAGACTCACCGGAGACTCCTTCAGCTTCTTCTTCTGCTGAAAGCATGCATATGTATCACTGCACTGAGGATGTACTGGACATCTTCACACTCTTGCACACACACACACTCTCGCACACAGACACAGAGGCCAGACTGCCTGCAGTTGTCCTTTCTTGTCAGCGACACAGGCAGCAGGGGAGTGCTGCAGTGACTGAAGGACTGGGAAACCCTGCTCACGCACGCACGCACGCACGCACGCACGCACGCACGGTTTTTCCTGTTCACACCGCAGAGGCGCCGCCTCTTAGCTCCGGAATCCGGTTCACTTCCAGCTCCAAAAATGTTTCGGTCTAGAGGCAAGAGCTTCGGAGCTAAGAGGCGGCGTCGCTTACGTCTCTCTTACGTCGAGGCGGGGGCAGGGGCAGGGGCAGGGCAGGGGCAGATTCGTCGTTGAAGTAGGCCTAGATGCTGAAGACCACAAAGAAGTCTTGCATTTCGCATGTGATGTTTGTAAAGTTCCAAGTAAAGTCGTCCCTTGTAAAGTCGTCCGATGTCTTCCATTTCGTTTCGTAAGAGGATAACCAAAGCGAACAGCGCTTCAATACAATCGGCCATTGTTGTTGTTGTCGATGTGAGGGATTTCCGCGCGGTTTGGATTTTATGAAGCAGGCACGTAAACGGTGACGTCATGACGCAGCAGCGGCAGCTCTGGGCGGTGTGAACAGAGCGGGAGCAGAAAAGGGAAACCGGAGCTGAACCAGAAAAGCTCCCGCTCGGAGCTAAAAAGGGAAAAGCGCTGGTGTGAAAGCCGCAACAGAGGTGTCAGAGGGGACAAAAGGATGTGAGGGAACCAGTGTTGAGGGAGGAGGAGAGGAGTGATACAGTAACAGAGAATACAAGTGACTGTGACCTTTAAGAAACAAAGATTTCCATATTAAAAAACTATTCAAATGATATATTATATGTCTTATAAAAGAAAAATGTATCGCCATAGCAGTTTAAAAAAAAAGAAGAATGACTGTAAGGAGATGATTTTGTGTTTTAAGCAAAGTTCATGTTAAACTAAATTAATAAATAAAAAGTGAAAATGTAAATATAATTGACGTACTTTGATGAGGTCTTTCCCCTCTCTGCTGGGCGGGGAGGGTTTGGGTCTGGGGGGGGGCGGGGGGCTTCGGTGTGAGAGGCGGAGCCGAGCTGGGGGAAGAGGAGGAGCAGCTCTGATTGGTGGAAGCTGACACCAACGATGGCATCTGATTGGTTGTCGTGGTGGCGTCGTGGAGGAAGATCCTCTCGCTGCGGCGCCTCGTCCAACCCTCGTCTTCGCTGAAGCCCCCGAACCCCGAGGAGCCCGAGGGGTGGTCGAAGCTGAATTGCCGTGGCGACTGGAGCGTGGGGCGGGGCTTAGGCAGAGGCTTTCGCTTGATTGGCAGAAGAGGGTCGTCTCGCTTCGAGGGGCTACTCTGGTCGATGCGGCGCGTTACCGGGGGCAACAGGGGGAGCTCGGGGGCGGAGCGTTTCCCGTGAAGAAGAGACGGAAACTTCCTCAGACGAAGATCAGAGCCCGAGTCCGACCACTCACACTCTGAAGACCCTGAGGGGGGGGGGGAGAGGGTCACATGGTGTAAAAACTACAAACACACGAGGGTAATTAATTACATTTCCTCAAGTTACTTAATTACTACATTACATTGTAAGGGACTTACAATATGTTCAATCAACCATGAAAATACCAACTTAAGAGGGCTAGAGTCATGCAGGTATACTAGCTTCATGTGGATGATGAGATTGACCAAGGTGCAGTAGAAACAGGTGGCGATTACATTTTTGGCAAACTTTAATACTTGACTAAAGTATTTACATTTTATGCTATTTTATACTTCTACTTGCCTTTATTTTGGCGGGAAAATATTGTATGTTTTTCCTAATACACCCAGTGTTTGAATATAACTTTATATAGTATCTAAAGTTGGCTGAACATTGACAAACAACGACATTTTATACATGTATTTGTTTGTTTCCTCTAGTGTGTTATATAGGTTTCAGTGCATGTAAATGGTTTGCAAAGGCTAAAATCCCTGTGTTCCCTCACACAACATTTGTGTAGGATTATATGCATTAATTTGCCCTTAAAACACTTTTTAAGTTTTATATGAGATCTTAAATTGGCCGAGAACATGTCTTTTTTTGTAATAAATACAGAATACATTTGTTTTGTATTAAGATATAGTAAAAATTTAAATTGGACCCATCATGCAAAATGCACTTTTTGATGTCTTTAATACATAAAGATGTGTCCCCGGTGTGTCGGGGAACTCACGCAGCGTCAGAAAATAAAACCCTCTCTCTTTTCCTCCGTACCCAAATCTCTAAAAACGGGGGAACAACGGAGCTGATCCAGATTTGCGTCCGATATGACGTAATATCGGAAATGTGGACCCACGGCCCAATCAGAAACGTTGCTATCAGAAACAATGCCCGACTGTTTTGGACGTAATATGGTGTTTACATTAATAATAATTAGGGCCGGGACTTTAACGCGTTAATTAAGATTAATTAATTACACAAAAATGAACGCGTTAAAAAAATTAACGCATTTTAATCGCACTTATTTTTGCACTGCGGAACGTTTCTCACTGGATGAGTTTCAGGCGTACCGATTATACTGGAGCACCAACTAACGTTCATGACTTCAGACAACAACAAACCACAGTGAACAACAGTGGGAAATGTTGTTTTAAAAAACGGACGGATGGAAGCGTCGATAAGAGCACGGTTGTGTGCAAATTATGCAAAAAGGAATTCGCATATCACCGCAGCACATCAAGCCTCAAGTATCACCTCAATGCAAAACATATAGCAGCTAGCGTGGAAGCTAGCGTGGACGTTAGCCTCTTTTATCGCGTTCACACCAAAAAGAGCCGGTACTAAAATTAGTTCATGAGAACCTTTTTACCCCCACGAAAGTCCCTGCTAGAGAGCAGAGAGCTGCTAGAGAGCAGGGACTTTCGTACGGCTCTCTTGTGAGAAAAGAGCTATATGTCTGATTGGCTGGGCGGATTGCAAACCACGCCCCGTAAAACTCCCAAAAAGTTTTGTGAAGCCGCCATTTTATTATCCTCGCATTAGCATTATTAGCATTAGCCCAGCGCAGAAACGCAGAGACACTAACTTATGGCAACACAAAATAAAACATGGGAGCGGTGGAGATGAGGAGGTGTCGGCGTTCTGGCGATTTACTCGGAAGGCTGCTGGGACTCCCAGCAGCTTCTACTGAAGCCAGTCCCCAACTCCGGGGACTTCCGGCCGGGGACTTTGGGCGGCAGTATACGCCGTGAAGTGATTTGCGGCCTGCCAGTAAACCCAAAGCAGAAGAAGAAGAAGTGACGTCAGCGGCTTCATTTGCCTAATCCTCCCCGAGGTTCAAAGAGTTCTCATGAACTAAATTCTCATGAACCTTTGTGGGAAAAGTACTGCGGTGTGAATGCGCCTAATGGTATACTAAAATCCATGTGAAAAAAATTGCTTCTCACTGTTCTTAGGTCAAATATTTATATGTGATTAAAAATGCGATTAATTTCGATTAATTAATTACAAAGCCTCTAATTAATTAGATTAATTTTTTTAATCGAGTCCCGGCCCTAATAATAATGCATTACATTTTTTATTAGAGCGCTTTTACAGGTGCTCAAAGCGCTTTACAATTGTAAATGTCATTACTGTGGACATTACCCACAGGAGCAAATGCGGGTTAAGTGTCTTGACCAAGGACACAACGGCCTGACGCAGTGGCGGCCGAGGCGGGTTTCTAGAGTTCACCAACGCCCCTTGATCTGATGATCAACGCTCTAACCACTGCGCCAAAACCGCCCGAGTGTTAGCATCGCTAACACTCAGAGCTAACCTGTACTGGAGAGCATGTGTGTGAAGAAGCAGGAAGTAAAAAGGAACTCACCTTGTGGTATAACCGGCAAGAGAGAAAGCCTTTGATCTCCATACTGTTTCAGAAAGAATCCTTGATAATCCATGATATGGCGTTTCATCAGCGCAGTATTTAGTTTAGACAGTAGCTGCCGGGTCCCGAATGAGCTCAGACCCCTCCTTTTTTTTTTTTTTTATCTTTTTTTTAAGCTTTATACCCAAAATCAGCACTTGTGAATCAGGAAGTGAAATAGAGGGATATGAGGCATGGCTAGAATGGGTGATCATAGACATGTTTTTTATATATTTGTATATATCTGAGACCTATGCTATTGCCTAAAAATAGCATGATAGGTGACCTTTAATATATTTGTAGGGCTATTGTGTATATTGAGCACATTTAGCTGATCATACTTTTGTATTTCTACTTAAATAACATTTTGATTCAGGTTTTTTACTTTTGAATTGAGTCTTTTAGGACCAATGTAATTTTACTTTTTCTAAATTAAAGGATTATTTCTGTCATCTCTGCAACATATAATATACTCACATGTACACTGCAGAAAATAAACTTGCAGGCAGTAATAAACTCAGGTTTCATATTCGCTGAAATCAATAACCCTGTAAATAGGACTATTGATCAATTTGAAACTCATATATAATTTAAAAGTGAATCATTACGTTCACCCTGCCGAGACAATTAGGCATAAATTAATATTTAACCAGGAATCAATAAAATAATCCTGAACAAACGCTCGATGGACCTGCTCAACCGCAAATAAGAAAAACTCAATTACAGCACGTGAAGCTGTCGGGGGAGTGTGCGAAATGAGTAAAAGCAGAAGAGTGTGTGAGCAAAGAAAATACTTCTACGAATATTGGTTAAATATAATAATGAAACTTGTGTTTTTCTTCAGTTTGCATTGTTTTTGCTTCTTTCCACAAGAAATATTATCAATATTATTTGGTTTATTTGCACAGATACAAATGACCCATTTATACATGTTGTGTTTTTCCCAGATTAAATATATCAGGCTTTTAATCTCAGGCCAACATTTTTGTCTGTTTTTCTATTTTTTTAACAAGACTTTAAGTCTTTTTCTCAATGTTATGATATCATCCTAGACTAGCTGTCAGGAGAGCGAATGCAAAGACAGACTTAAATATAAAAATGATCATTGTTTTTTTTCTCTACTTTTCTATTTGTTGAACAACTTCCACAAAAACATTATCCATATTAGTTTAGTTTATTTGCACAGAAATACCCTTTATATTTACTTTATACAAAATAAAAAGTTGTATTGCTTTAAAGGTAACCTATTATGCAAAATCCACTTCTTCATGTCTCTTCTACATCAACATGTGTCCCCTCTTCTTCATGTCTCTTCTACATCAACATGTGTCCCCTTTTCTTCATGTCTCTTCTACATCACCATGTGTCCCCTCTTCTTCATGTCTCTTCTACATCAACATGTGTCCCCTTTTCTTCATGTCTCTTCTACATCAACATGTGTCCCCTCTTCTTCATGTCTCTTCTACATCAACATGTGTCCCCATCTTCTTCATGTCTCTTCTACATCAACATGTGTCCCCTCCTTCTTCATGTCTCTTCTACATCAACATGTGTCCCCTCTTCTTCATGTCTCTTCTACATCAACATGTGTCCCCTCTTCTTCATGTTCCTCTACATCAACATGTGTCCCCTCTTCTGTCATGTCTCTTCTACATCAACATGTGTCCCCCTCTTTCTTCATGTCTCCTTTCTACATCAACATGTGTCCCCTCTTCTTCTCATGTCTCTTCTACATCAACATGTGTCCCCTCTTTCTTCATGTCTCTTCTACTATCAACATGCTGTCCCCTCTTCTTCATGTCTCTTCTACATCAACATGTGTCCCCTCTTCTTCATGTCTCTAGTACTAAGCCACTCAACATGTGTCCCCATCTTCGTTTCATGTCTCTTCTACATCAACATGTTGTGTCCCCTCTTTCTTCATGTCTCTTCTACATCAACATGTCGTCCCCTCTTCTTCATGTCTTCTTCTACATCAACATGTGTCCCCTCTTCTTCATGTCTCTTCTACATCAACATGTGTCCCCTCTCTTCATGTCTCTTCTACATCAACATGTGTCCTCTCTTCTTCATGTCTCTTCTACATCAACATGTGTCCCCTCTTCTTCATGTCTCTTCTACATCACATGTGTCCCTCTTCTTCATGTCTCTTCTACATCAACATGTGTCCTATCTTCTCCATGTCTCTTCGACATCAACATGTGTCCCCTCTGTGACAGAGCTCTGACTCTGAAAGTTTCAGGAACAAAGATTCTCTCTCTCTTTTTGTCCCGGATCCATTTCTATAAAAACCTGTCTGAAAATGAGCTGATCAGATTTTCGCCACGATGTCATAACGATGTTTTGGCTTGTGTAACCATTAGCCAATCACCAAGGTAACCCCCCCCCCACCCAACACCTTATCACCTGAATCTCCTCCTAGAGCACCATTGAGTTCTTGTAACCAATGTCTCTCAGAGGGGCGTGGGGGAGGGGCTTCTTATTTTCATCTAAAGTAACAGACAGAGAATCAAGCACTTTGGAAACAGGGCTGAAACAGAGGGGATTATGGGTAATGCTGCAATGATCTGTTTGGTGTTTGGAGCCAAACACTTCAGAGACATGTTTTGTATATATCTGAGACCTATAATATATTGATGAACTAATGCACAAGTTTGTATCTTCATGGATTATTGCACATTTTCGAAGTCCCTTTGGATAAAAGCTAAATGTGATGCAATATACACAACGCTTTCGTATCTGCTGTGTTTTTACCCAGAGTGCTTTGCCTGCTGCGGTGTTTGCCGTCGTGCAGGAGGCTCAGAGGCGTGGGAGGGACGGGGGTCGCGCTCGCTGCGAACCGGGCCAGCAGACCCAGCCCGCTCAAATCCTCCGAGTCCGACACATCCTCGTAGTCCTCTTCGTCCTCCGAGGATTCTGTTTCAGAGAAAAGACTGTTAGCTTTTCAGGGATGAACGTGTCTGCAGCAGCACAGGGGTCAAAGGTCAAATCACTTCCTACTGACACAAAGCCTGCACCACTGAGGAGATGAAATAACGGAAGATAAATTATCGACCTATATCCCTTCTAAAGTAAATAAAAAACAGATTTAAGCCCCGTGTAGAAGGACACACACACACACTAATCAAAGAAATTAGTGAAGAGAAAGGATAACGACTGTCCAATCCACCGCCTGCATTCACCACGTAATGCTGTGTAAGCAAGGTACAGAAACGCTCATGTACCACATACATGCATTAGCCACGCTCACACACACAGCTGCTGAGACCCTGTGAGCTGACTCAGGTCTCATTAATTATTTAAACGAAACCCCTCAGAGAAAGTGACAGAGAGAAAAGCTGCTTCCTTCGTCCTTTTATGTCTAACAGGCCAGAAGAGCACACAAAAAGGCAGAGGCACACACACAGACAACACACACATTTATACACTGAAGCACTGGTTAGCTGTAGCAGGAGTTAGCAGTTAGCTCGATAGCAGCAGGAGGAGCGTCTCCTCAGGGGTTAAAGGGTGTTAACATTGTGGGTGGATGCACAGTACAACAACATATGTTTTATTTATTATTATATTAAAGCATATAATTGCTTTCATAGGATTAGCAATATTGTGTGTTTACAAAGGTTTTTAATAAAAGGTTACACCAGGTAGAGTCCGTGTTTTGCTGCCCTCTCTGGTGAGAAGTTAGCAAAGTGTACGTAAGTAAGTAGTGATATCTGTGAGTCTTCGCTCCAAAAATTACATTCACATATATTGAATCTAAATTGTAAAATATTGATTTCAGAAGAAGGTATTTTATCCCGAATTAAAAAAAGTAAAAAAGGTAAACACAGGACTTTATTTCGTGAATGTTATTTGTGTCCCGTTTGAAACCAAAATCTGTTTTGCATGCAATTCTGTATGCAGCTCAAGTTATATAACAAATGTACTTATTTTAAGTCAAATCATAGATTTTTACTGACTTTATACATTTTTTTCTTGGCTTTTTGTTTTGTTTCAACCCATTACTTTAACCATGTGTATAAAACTGCAAAACAAATAAATAAATGTCTCTCTAAAACTAGTTAAAGCTGTTTAATTATACGTGAATGTAATTTTAAGGAGACAGGGTTGCACTACAAGGCGAGAAGGTTAGCAAAAAATTAAGTGTCCTCTTTAACCAAAACAATACTTATTTAAGTAAATCAATTGTTTAATTTATTGATGATCCAGACCAGAATATTAAAATAAAATAATTTCAAACTCTCGGGTCAAACTTCAGAGCTACATCTGAAGCGTTTGTTGTACTGTCGATCCACGATGTGTTAACAGAAGCAGGCAGACAAAACAAAACAGGCAGGCACTGAGAGGACAGCCCTGTGAGGCCCCTTGGTATGATGATGTAGTTTACGAGTTACCATGGTTACATCCTCTTTTACGTCTTCCCGTAAACTTTTACATAAGACAAATCGTTGGTAAAGTGGAAGTAACCATGGCTCCCATTAAAAAAGAATTTTAATTTGTGAGAACAAAAAATAAATGTAATTTCAGCGTGGTCCATGTTAGCGGTGGATGAGGAATAGAGGGAGGGGACCGTCCTACTTACAGAGCAGGTGACAGGGGTGTGGCCTCAGGCAGGGGCGGGGCAGCGGCCAGAGCGCAGCCTAGCTGTAGCTCAGCCTAGCATTAGCATTAGCTTTAGCCGCAGCGAAGTAGCATAGGCTCACGGCTGCGCTAGTCCTTGCCAAGCTTCTGTAATGTCGCAACAGCACAAAGCACATGGAAACAGGCGGAGAGACACGCAAAGCATCATGGGTAAGGAAAGGGGGGAGGGACAGGTGAGAGGACAGAGCAAGGGGTCGGAGAGAGCAACGTAAAGGGAGAAGGGTTATTTGAAGGTTTAGTAGACAGAGGAGGGGCTCTATTATCCAAATATCCCCAGCGTGTTATTTGATTGGTGCTGTCAAGAAGTTTAGAATGAGTAGATTTTATTTCCCACACAACATTGAGAAAATAGACCACATTGTTAAAAAAAACAAAACACTTAATCTGATGTAAATTTACCTGAAAAATCCACAAATTATTTAAAAATCTATAAATTTTGTTTAAAAAAAAAATCCACAAAAAAATAGTTTAAAAATCCACAAAAATTTATTTTAAGAATCTATACAAGTAGTTTTTAAAAAAAATCCACAAAAGACTGCTTTAAAATTCCATTAATTTACCTTAAAAATTTACCTTAAAAAAAACTGACTAGGCAATAAATACCCGTCCCATCAGATTCAGCTGCTGTGAAATAAGTCTTCTACATTTTTTATTTTTTGGTTTCCAGGACTGAAGGGATATTTGAGGAACAGAGCAGTGTTCAGGATGTGAGCTGCACACTGACGGAGACAGACAGACAGATGAAGCAGACACAAGGACCACAGCGCTTCACTTTCTGTGCCAATCAGATCAACACCTTTAATAAAGCTTATAGGTACCAAAACTGCAATACAACTTTATCTCACAATTCACACAATTTTTCAATATACAAAATGCTACAAAAAACTGGTTTTGCAATCCAGGCAATGTAAAAAAACAACAAAAACAACACCATAGAAATACTCTTTAAAAAAACAAAAGGCAACAGCAGCAAGAGAGGTAGAGATGGTCGAGCTAAAGCACAGTCGAGACGCGAACAGAGACACAAGCTGCGTTTCTGCTAAGATTGGCTCAGTAACCTTGGTCAAAGGAGTCGTCGGAGGAGCTGAGGCCGGCCTCCTCCAGCAGCAGAGATAAGTGCTTGTGTTTCTTCTTCTGGGATTTCAGGCCGGACGGCGGCGGTGACGTGGACCTCTTCCTGGTCGGGTTTTCGTGGGAGGGCATCCCTGAGAGAGAGGGCCAGCCCCCTCGAGCAGAAGAAGTGAGATCCTCTGAGTCTGAGTCTGGTGCAGAGAGAGGACGGTTAATGAATCATGCAAACACACCTCGACACCATCAGGACTGGGTTCTATTATGGTCAATTATTCAGGGATTAAACAGCTTTTTAAGAGCAAAACTCAAGCATTTCAAGGTACTAAAACCAATAATGTCCAGATTCTCAAAGCCTTACGTTAAATGAAATTGCGAAAGATTTACTTTACAGAAATCCTAAAGCAATCGATTTATATTGTATAACTTGCGTTATTTTACCAGCTGTTCATATTAACTAAAATAGCATGTTTTGATTGTGATAATTAATTGCTCAGCTAGCTCCAGTTCGCTCGACATCCGCTGTGAGACGCAAGAAACACCCACAAATGTATCTAAAAGGCGGGACTGTGTAATTTAAAATATTTAAGACTGTTTACATAAGTGATTATGTAGATCAAACAGCAGATTTTCCAACAACCATTAACCGTATCTCTGCCAGCATTGGTCTTAATAAGCAGTTATTTCAGATCTCTGGTCTCCAGGTACTCACTGTTGGAGCAGCTGCTGAGCTCTGATCTCACGTGAGAGAACAAAGTCGTCGTCGTCTTCTTCTGACCTTTCACTTTCAGGGCGCTGTCCAAAGAGGAAACCTTGGTGGCCATCTTGTGTTTCCCAGCCTTAGCGGACGGGTGGATGCTGCGCTCCTTCATCCGACTTTCCCCAGACTTGACCTTCGACTTGTCTGATTTGGAGCTGAGTTTATGAGAAGCTGCGAGTGATCCGAGCTGTGAGAGCGACAGAGCTCTGTCCAGATCTGAGGCCAGCTGCTCCTGCTCACACACGTGGCCACGCTTCGACTTCAACACCTGACAAATAACACAAAAACACACTTAGTAAATTAAATCTGAAACATGGAGCAACATTGTGGACAAAAATAAAACACACTGAGGTCAAAAGTCAATATAAAAGATAGAAACAACTATAATAATAATTTTGTATGTATTATTATTTTCGACTTTTTAATACCAGAAATGTGAGTTAAAAAAAATAATGTAGTAATGTATTTAATAATGTTCTTTTTAAAAGGGCTGTCTTAAATACATTTAGCGATTTGAAATGTGATAACTGATATTTCAGAAATGTTTTTGTCTTTGACAAATTAAATTACATGAAAATGTTAATAATGGCTGTGGCTGTCAAATTTTTATTTTGTGTTATTTTCAAAGATTTTCTCCCTGAAAATCAACAAATGTACCCATCTAAAAAAGTCAAAAACTGTCTATAAGACTTAAAGGTAGGTAAGTATGGAGAAACCAGCTCGAGTGCGCTAGAATTTGAAAGTACGCAGCCGAAAAAAATCTGCCCAAAGCATTTAATGTATTCATTACTATCGGGATGTTAAGAGCATTCCATGGAATATAACAAAACGTGTTTCTGAAGTGAATTACCTACCCCACCTTTAAGTAAAGACAAGTTCAAAGTAATTGAGTTATGCGATTATTCCTCTGTTGTCATGCAGACTTTCATATTTCAGGATAACATTGAGCGAAATCCTAAAAAAGAACTCGACAGCGTCTTACCTCCAGAGCGTGACTGGTGGATGGCTCCTGGTCGTTCCAGCTCTTCTTCTTCTTTTTCTTCTTCTTCTTTTTTATCTTCACTCCTCCAATCGCCGCCTCCGCCTCCTCTTCTTCTTCTCTGGAGACCCTGAACCTTTTCCTCTGTCCCTCCCCGGCTTCAGAGTCCTCGGAGTATTGCACTGTCCTACCCACCCTGAAACACCCAGAGAGTTGTTTTTACAGGGAAACAACAAACAGACAGAAAAAAACAAACAAGCAAATAAAGATGGAGGTGTGACTCACTTTCCAGGCCTGCTGTCCAGTTTGGTCGGTGTCGTTAAATGTTTCCTCTTACGGGGTCGCCCTCTGCCCCGTCGGGTCAGACTCTGCCTCTCGTCCTCGTTCTGCTGCCGCTCACTGAAACATACATTAAAGAGGATATAAGTGTGTGTTTGTCTGGGGTGTAGAACTTAGTGTGTGAGTATTAATATAACTGCACATTTAGATTCCTAAAATGTCAGAAATGGATTCAGCATCCTCAAAAAGTTGTCCAAATCGCCAAAAGCCTTTTCTTAAAACCATTGTCTGCATAGGCTATATCGCTAATTAATGCAAATTAACACAACTTATGCTAAATATGCAAATTGCCCAACATGTGCAAGTTAGCATCCGGCAGTTTCTAATTGCTGGGGACCCCTACTTAACATTTCTAACATAACACTTTGGTGTACTGTATTAGAAATGTTAAAATTAGATTAGAAATGTCCTTTTATTGTGTTTTGCTTATTCAAGTCTATTAAACATGATAGAGTCCTTCTTTCCCAAATAACACAATGATATGTTTTAATTTACAACTTACTGTTCAACTGTTACATTTTAGCTAACTGTTTCAACTGTCAACTAACTGTTTCAACTGTTACTTTGAGCTAACTGTTTCAACTGTTACTTTTAGCTAACTGTTTCAACTGTTACTTTTAGCTAACTGTTTCAACTGTTAACTTTTAGCTAACTGTTTCAACTGTTAACTTTTAGCTAACTGTTTCAACTGTTACTTTTAGCTAACTGTTTCAACTGTTACTTTTAGCTAACTGTTTCAACTGTTAACTTTTAGCTAACTGTTTCAACTGTTACTTTAGCTAACTGTTTCAACTGTTACTTTTAGCTAACTGTTTCAACTGTTAACTTTTAGCTAACTGTTTCAACTGTTAACTTTTAGCTAACTGTTTCAACTGTTAACTTTTAGCTAACTGTTTCAACTGTTAACTTTTAGCTAACTGTTTCAACTGTTAACTTTTAGCTAACTGTTTCAACTGTTAACTTTTAGCTAACTGTTTCAACTGTTAACTTTTAGCTAACTGTTTCAACTGTTAACTTTTAGCTAACTGTTTCAACTGTTAACTTTTAGCTAACTGTTTCAACTGTTACTTTTAGCTAACTGTTTCAACTGTTAACTTTTAGCTAACTGTTTCAACTGTTACTTTTAGCTAACTGTTTCAACTGTTAACTTTTAGCTAACTGTTTCAACTGTTACTTTTAGCTAACTGTTTCAACTGTTACTTTTAGATAACTGTTTCAACTGTTAACTTTTAGATAACTGTTTCAACTGTTAACTTTTAGATAACTGTTTCAACTGTTAACTTTTAGCTAACTGTTTCAACTGTTAACTTTTAGCTAACTGTTTCAACTGTTAACTTTTAGCTAACTGTTTCAACTGTTACTTTTAGCTAACTGTTTCAACTGTTAACTTTTAGCTAACGGTTTCAACTGTCAACTAATTGTTTCTACTGTTACTTTTAGCTAACGCTAACCGTTTCAACTGTCAACTTTTAGCTAACGGTTTCAACTGTGAACTTTTAGCTAACTGTTTCAACTGTCAACTAACTGTTTCAACTGTCAACTTTTAGCTAACTGTTTCAACTGTTACTTTTTGTAAAAAAATTGTATTATTATAATGATAACTGCATTGCACTGAGTAAATAACCTTCTCAAATGTCAACTTTTAGCTAACCGTCTCAACTGTTACTTTTAGCTAACCGTCTCAACTGTTACTTTTAGCTAACTGTCAACTTTTAGCTAACTGTTTCAACTGTTACTTTTAGCTAACTGTTTCAACTGTTACTTTTAGCTAACTGTTTCAACTGTTAACTTTTAGCTAACTGTTTCAACTGTTAACTTTTAGCTAACTGTTTCAACTGTTAACTTTTAGCTAACTGTTTCAACTGTTAACTTTTAGCTAACTGTTTCAACTGTTAACTTTTAGCTAACGGTTTCAACTGTCAACTAATTGTTTCTACTGTTACTTTTAGCTAACGCTAACCGTTTCAACTGTCAACTTTTAGCTAACGGTTTCAACTGTGAACTTTTAGCTAACTGTTTCAACTGTCAACTAACTGTTTCAACTGTCAACTTTTAGCTAACTGTTTCAACTGTTACTTTTTGTAAAAAAATTGTATTATTATAATGATAACTGCATTGCACTGAGTAAATAACCTTCTCAAATGTCAACTTTTAGCTAACCGTCTCAACTGTTACTTTTAGCTAACCGTCTCAACTGTTACTTTTAGCTAACTGCCAACTTTTCGCTAACTGTTACAACTGTCAACTTTTAGCTAACTGTTTCAACTGTTACTTTTAGCTAACTGTTTCATAACACAATAATATGTTTTAATTTACAACTTACTGTGTGGCTCTGTATTATCAGATAGACAATTTCTGGATCTTTATGAGATATTTCTACCTGAGTACTCGACAATAGAATAGGACTCTATGAGATGGAAAATAGACTAATAGCAGCAGTGTGGAATGAATTCATCTTATGTGTGTTTTTGCGTTAGCTCACCGTTTGTCTCTGCGTCTCTGCAGCTTGGTCAGATCTCTCTGCTTCTCCTTGTAAGTCTTCTGCAGCTCGGCCAGGTGAACGCGATATTCCACCTCCACGGCATCCAACACGTCCACAGACATTTTACTGTACAGCTGCACAGAGGAGAGAAAATGTGTCAGTACATTTTATACTTTATTCCATCTCTGGGCGTCCCAAGTCATTTTTTATTCATCTCACCGGCTCCTTCCTCTGCCTCCAGCTGTACTTCTTGTTGGGGTCCAGCGTTCTGGGCAGGTCGATGTGCGACTGCTTCTCGATCGCCTCCAACAGAATCTGCCGGCTTGCTTCAAGAAGACCGTCCAGACCCTCTAATGTCAGATCTGAATGGGACACAGAGGATAATAAAACATTAGAGAATATAACAGAGTTGAAAAGACTCGCAATATCGCAATATAGACGAGAGAAATATCCACATTTCAGTATCTGTAATGATCAGGAATCTGTGAAAATATTTGGATGAAGTATTGTGGTACACTTAAAAAGTCTTGCTGGTACAGATCCTCAAAAGTTTAACACAATCCAATATCGTAAATAATATCGCATTTGCAAAACCAGTTAAAAAAAAAACAATGCTCAATCCTATAATATAGGTATTGAGATATTGCATCCGAAATATTGTGATATTTGATTTTCTCCATAAAGCCTGGCCCCAGTTTCCTTCATATTTCCTCACCTTGCTCCATGCTGATTTGCTCCATCTCCCTCTGAGCCATTTGGCTGAGCAGGGCCATCCCTTCCAGCGCCACCATCTCCAGAGCACCGGCACCGCTGCAATCCATACCCAACGAGTGGATTTCTATCTGCGGTAAGAGTGTTGGAGCGGGTGGAGTTGTTGGTCGAGCCTGGACTATTTCACTGGCTGCCAGCAGGGCGAACATCCCCGCCATGGGATCCTCAGGGCCGACGATCAGCGGGAGCGGCGAGTTGGAAGCGGACAGATGATAAACGGGAGTTTCTGTGACACTTTCTTTCTGACTGGGAGTGTGTGAGTTGATGGGAGTGTGTGGCTGTTCTTGTTCACACACTGCGCTGGTGATATGTTGTAACTCCTCGTTGTCTGAATCTGCAGCGACGCATGATGGATAATGTTCTGGATCCTTCATGACATCTGGTTTGGGCTCAGACTCAGGAGGCAGGCCATATGTGGCCTGACAAGAATAAGACGACACCTCCATTTTTATTTGCCCTCCTTCCTTGTCTTCCTCTCTTATTCCTTGCAGTCTTTCCCTTTGTAGCAATGGAGGGCTAGGGACACGAGGAGTTAGCGTCTGAAGCTTCTGTGTTTCCCGGGCTTCCTCTCTGGAGGGAACAGGGCTGCAGCTTCGATGAAGAGCACCCAGAGGATTGGGCCTCGTGTCGAGCGGAGGTTGCTCCACGCCTGGTTCCTGCTTCAGGAAAGATCCGGTCTGTTTTGGGGGCTTAATGTCTGTGTCCTGCAGCCTTGGATGGAGGTGGGCTGAGGGCAAAAGGGCAGCAGAGGAAGGAGATCGGGAGCGGTGAGGTGGGACGACTTCTGTGTTTGCCCCTGAGGGTGCTGGGATGTGATAAGGGGGGAAAGGTGAGCCAAATGGGGCGGTGATGGACTGGTAAGGGTAACCTGGAGGGAGATCTGTAACAGTAAAGCAGAAATACAGAAATTAGAATTACCAATTTTATACACAGGTCTCTCGACAGGTATTGTAGTGGCTTAAAAGTTTATAGAGCAGCCACTTCCAACATACAGGGGTGTGATTCCAACGCACTAATAATCCATAACCATAATCCATTTTATCAAGATGAATCCATTTATTTATCCATTGCAGCATACATCTCTCCTTCTCAGTGTGTCTGCTGTGTGTGGTGGAACTGGTTTACCTTCCCCCGTCTAAATCCAACCCCTTCCCCATAAACAGACATACTATAGTAAATAAAGGGGTGTCAACAAATATATTTGGGGGCGTAAACAACTACACATGTTAAACAATACAAATAAAAACAAAACTTATATAATAAACTCAGTTAAATGGCTCCTACAGGTATGTTCAGTTGTTAGCTTCCTCCACACTCACCAGAGTAGACGCCTTGAAAGGAAGCAGAGGCCGGCTTCTGTCCCTCTCTCTGAACCCTCCGTCCCACCTCCCCCTCCTCCAGTTTAGGCCGCCGTGGGGAGGACGGGGGAGGAGAGGCTGATCGCGGGGAAGGCGGGTGAGGAAGGGGCGTTGGCGGATGGGACAAAACTCTATGCCCGCCTTCCTCTGACTTCAGGGCAGTCACTGGCGAGGGGAGCGGAGGCAGCGGAGTGAGAGAGGAGGTGGACGGGGTGGGCGAGCGAGAGTGAGGAGGAAGTTTGCGGGGATGCAGGATGGGTGAGGGAGACGGGGAAGATATCGAGGAACGCCGGGGTTTGGGGTCGGAGTGACGTTTGTCTGCTTTGTCTTCCATCTCCGGCCGGTGCTCGCTAGCCTTAAATCGCTCCTGAAACACAGGGGATGTCACAACCTTATTAATATCAGTGTTTGTTTACATTGCTTACACTTCCCGGAGTGTGTGTTTTTTTGCAGCTGCAGTTCATGAGTGCTCTTATTGAATGTAAAATTCTACTTTATAAGTAAATAAAAGTAACTCCAGCTTTAAGAGCATCAAAAACAATCATGTAATTTAACATACTTGATTCTAAAATGGGACATAAGTACTTTTTGTACATGAAGTATATTTGAATGCCAATAATTTATGAGTAGTAGTATGACAGGGGAGGCAGAGCCTCACCTGTCATACTCCAATGTAACGGAAAAACAACTAAAGAAAAACTAAATAGTAATAATAATAAAATGTCTCCACTGATCTGTGTATGTATGATTCCAATCGCTTTTTATAGTCAAAATCAGCAAATTTGCCAAGCTCCGCTACAACTACGGGTAGTGGTGAGAAGTGAGGCAGGGACGAGCTCTGCCTCTCGTAAACCCACAGTAACTGGCTGGAGCGCGGGCACTAATTTAATGCGGGCACTTCTTTTGTGGACTTCATCTTCAAGTCAAGGTAAGACCACAATTGTAATGAAAATGGGATCTTACTAAGAAAGAACAATCCAATATTTAGATTTTGGGTATCCTTTGGTTGAACGGTCTGTTTAAAAAGAATCGAAGCATCAGACTAAAAAAGCTTTTGAAAATAACCGAATATTTCGATTACGGTCAATAACATATAATATTTGTAAATCTTACTCTGAAAGAGTCAATGCCTCACCAGCCATGAACCTCACCGCACGTCACTGTTATAAATGCAGGACTTGAAACCAAGTATTTTTACGCTGTAGTATTGTATATGTGTGAAGTTGAACAGAATTTGTACTTTCAAATGTAAAATATATTTGGCACAGTGGGTTTGTGGCTCAAGTAGATTATTGAGATTTGTGGGGGATTGTTGTTTTTGATCTTTGTTGACTTTATGTAATTCTTCACCAAGTCGTAAAATCTGGGTTTATGTGTATATGCAATATTTTCTGCCTCACTTGTAGCTCATTGTTCCTCTACACAGCCAGGATATGTGCATTTTTATTATTTATGTGATGTGTGTAGGAAGGACTGCTGTGTTTTATGTTTGTGTTGAATATGGAGATGGGATGTCTACATGGACAGGTGTGTAAATGTATGGAGTTGTTTGAATAATGTATGGTTGTTGTTGTTGATACCATTTAACGACACAAAGTCTACTTACAACTAGCTGTGCGTTCCTCTGCAGCTCCAGGACCTGCGCTGTGTGCTGCTGGATCATCAGCAGCTCCTGTTGCCGGAGCATCTGCTGCTGAGAGAGCAGCTGGAGCTGGGCAGCATGTTGCAGGGAGCTGCTCGTACCGTAAACACCCGGCCACACCGGGCCTCCACGATCCATAACATCACCTCCTGCACAGTCATGGGGAAGGAAAAGTTAAAGTAGCCTTCTTTGTCATTACCTTTTTCATATTAAGGATGAAGAAATGATGGTGGTTGTCTTCCACAACCTTATAGAAGAAGGACAAACATCGATTTTCTATTGCCCAACATCTTTTGTGAGATGTTCCCCTGTCACACGAACTACACTAACAGCACTGATGTTTAAACTATTTATTCATTACTTTCAACTAACCATTTAAACTGTTACCAACAGTTTCAACTGTTGAGCTAACTGTTTAAACTATTTATGTTTAGCCAACTGTTTCAACTGTTTACTTGTAGCCAACTATTTTAACTGTTAACTATTTAGCTAACCGTTTCAACTGTTACTTTTAGCTAACTGTTTCAACCGTCAACTTTTAGCTAACCGTTTCAACTGTTACTTTTAGCTAACCGTTTCAACTGTCAACTAACTGTTTCAACTGTTACTTTTAGCTAACTGTTTGTCAACTAACTGTTTCAACTGTTACTTTTAGCTAACTGTGTCAACTAACTGTTTCAACTGTTACTTTTAGCTAACTGTTTGTCAGCTAACTGTTTCAACTGTTACTTTTAGCCAACTGTTTGTCAGCTAACTGTTTCAACTGTCAACTTTTAGCTAACTATTTTAACTGTTTACTTTTCGCTAACTGTTTCAACTGTTTGCTTTCAGCTAATCTTTTCTAACCTTTAACTTTAAACTAACTTTATCCACTGTACTTTTAGCTTATTATTCCAACTATTTGTTTTTAGCTAAACTTTTGCAATGTATACTTTTAGCCAACTTTCTCAAATAATAACATTTAGCTAATTATTTTAACGATTCACTTTTAGCAACTTATTCAACTGTTTACTGTTAACCAACTGTTTAAACTATTTACCCATTACCATAAGTTATTTATTGTGTCTATTGTTCTTGCTTGTCAACTAGTTTTCAACCCACTCTTAATTACACATTGATTAATGTTACAGCTGACTCAATATGTGGATATATTTAATACAAAAACATATGCAGGCTGTCAAACTTGTTGGAAATGGTCTCACTTTTTTACATTAATTATCAACACTGACATCTGTTACAAAATGAAAATGATAAGCTTTTATTTGTGCAACAACACAATAAATAGTTATTCTAAAAGTGATAAAATCGGCACACCAACATTATGTCCCCATACTTTAGATTTCATATGCACATAAAGATAATGGCTTTCATACCGTAGTGTTGCAGGTGTTCAGTGGGGATGACAATTAACTGTCCAGATTGAGGGTCCCGGGCTAACTGGTATGGAGGAGGCATTGAACCCTGCAAAGAGGGGGGGTAACCTTGGGGGAGAGCCTGGTGGAGAGAGGATGGACCAAGGCCTGAACGAGAAGAAAATGTTTGAAAAGTTGATTTTAAAAAAGAGAAAACATTTTCCCAGCTAATCTAAAACTAACACTGACTCAGCGCCATTCCTCACCCAGTATTTATACCCCAGCCATAACAGCACTGAGCACACAAACACTGAATTAAGCTGCTTTTTGAGTGATATTGTTTTTTTGCCCTTTGTGTCTAGACAGAACTTACCCTTAGGGTGCAAAATATGTTTGTTTCCATATTACTCAGATGTTATGTGTACAGTAAAACTATGTAAGTGTGTGTGTTTGTGTCTCAATGCTGTTATTTCTGGACAGCAAGCGTTGGCGGAGCAGGAATGTCCTGCAAAGATCAGGAATGTCTGAGGAACTTGACCCCTGGAGGCTGTTACTGGACGGACAGACAACATCTACTTTTTCTGCTGCACTAACCACTAAAGGCTACACAGGAGCATGTAGAATTTTGCAAGCACGCCCCGTTCTTGTGTTGACCCGATTTAAAGCTTAAGCACAAGGTAGGATAACTCTGCTGACGAGAGTAAGAGGTAGATTCTTACTGAAAAGGGCAAAGGAGTTGCTGGTACTTCTTTACTAATGCTTTGTGTGGCGTGCGACGTCTGTACTTGTCCACATCTGTCAGTCCAACTCAGTGAACACATGAAGTGGCAGCTTCATGAAGACATGGAAGGTCATTCATCCCTCGACTCTTACATTTCTTATGCATGTGGATGCTTGTTTTTTTCCAACAAATAGTTAAACACCAACCTATATTAAAATTACTAACACATAAAATAATGACTTTCTCAACTGAGAGGTTAGATAGAACATGGTAATGTTGGACAATAAAATTACTGAAAAATGAATAAGAAAACTATATGTTGAGTTATCCAGGTCTGCTTTCTGTCCCCAGCGTTTATTCACTTTGCTCCAAATATCTGAAACAAATTCTGATGCAACACATACGTATTTTGGCTGCTGCCTTTTATTAAATCAAATAACTATTCATATATTACACTGCACTCTATTATTCTTGTATTTTACTCCCATGTTATTATTTTTCAGCTTGTTTTATTTGTCTTATATTGGTCTTAATAATAATAACTTTCTAAATATAGAAACAAGTTATTCTTTAATTTTTTTTTAATTATTATTATTGTTTCTTAATCTGATTGTATTTACTCCCGTTTCATTTCAATCTGAGGTTTCCCTGACTGTTCGATATTGAGGGTGGGGGGAGGGGAGTGTTATTTACCCATGTGTTAATGTATGTATGTATGTGTGAATGTTCTTTCTATGTTAAAACCCCAATAAATATAATGTTAAAAAAATAAACAATGTCACAAGGAACATTAAAGTCCAATTTTGGGAACATTTAGAAGCATGTACTGGTTAGCAAGTGTCTCTGGTGTTCATCCACTTACTGTACGGGGAGCTGGAGAGCCAGACTGGGGGGGCTCCGGGTCGGGGCATCCACGGGTGAGAGGTGAGGGTCTGCGGGTCGGGGGGCCATCGCCCCGCCCCGGCCAGAGCAGCCCCTCCCGTCACCATGAGGTTAGAGGTCATGAGGCTGGGTGCCATCATGCTGGGCGTCATGCCGCTTGACAGAGGAGGGGGATGCATCTGAGTGAACTCTGCCAGCTCCTTGGACTCTCTGGAAGATAGTTTTATTTATTACTGTGTATTTAGGAGTGAATCTTTTGAACAAATAGATGTATTTTTGACAAGGTTAAAGGACTTCTTACGCACAAACTCAGAGAATGATCATTTGTTTATCAATTTTCACCCCTTTTTATGAAGAATGCTTTGTTTTTCACACAAGAAAGTTCTCAATGAATTTAAGTAAATGGGGGCCGTGTTTAAGAAAGCAATACTTGTAAAAACATCTAACATATAACAAATCTAACATACCTTCTGCAGTATAATCCAAGTCTCACTTGTAAAAATTATAATTTTGTTGCAGAAGCAAGTGTGTGACATTCAAGTGTGTGACATTCATTTGACCCTTTTACAATTGACAAACATTTAAGTCAGCATGAAGTCGCTCACCTGAGCACTTTGTCCTGATCGCGCTCCAGTCGGCCGACCAGCATCCGATCGTCATGGTGACGCCCGCGGTCCTCGGCTCGCTCCTCATCTGTAACGAGTTCACAGAGAGAGATGTGTGTTAGCTTAGTGTGTTCAAACCCTGATTTCAAATGTGAAATATATGCAGTCCTGGTGGAAAAAAGTGAGTTAGTTCCAAATAAGAAAAGGAATTAAACTTAAAATTATTTCGTTTTTGACCTTTTAAACAGTGGCGAACCGTCAGGGCCTTCAAGGTATTCAGAGAATACCCTGGAACACTCAGATAAAACAAACAAAAAATCTATTTAATTATATAAATAAAATGTATATAAAATGAATAAATGAGAATCGTATCCGTGTTGTTGATCTGTAATATTACAGTGTTACGTTGATTTGTTTGTCCTTCTCGGACCATGCACTACGCATTTCAGTAGAAAAGAAAGCAACCAATCAGATCTTGTTCTGGGTCTCTGGGTAGAATATCCTTCAACAAGGTATTCTACATCCTTGATCGAATGCCCTGGCCGTTGCACTGAATGAGCGTACGTTTGGACTGACAGTTGGATCAACCAATCACATATTGATTTGTAGCCAATGGGCGTATTCTTTCAGAGTTTCCCCTCGGTTCCAGGGTATTCTAGAAGGCCCGCTAGTTAACTGGCTCGAGGTAGAGGATCAAGATCAGTGCTTCTCAAACTTTTTCATACCAAGGACCACTTAACCAATAAAAAAACACTTGCGGACCACCTAACTCCACATATATCGAAAAACACATCGTTTTTGGCAAATCGCCTGAAAATGGTACAAACAAGTGGCCGCATGTGTGATGAAGGTGTTTATCTGGGCTATATCATGCAATCGAAAGTGAAACTTAAGCTCGCTCCATTGCGGAGATATTCCCGGGAGAGTGCGGAAAACTTTAATTAATTAATTAATTTCAAATGTGAAATGTTACCAATATACTCACGGACCACTAGGGGGCTCTCACGGACCACTAGGGGGCGCTCACGGACCACCAGTGGTCCGCGGACCACACTTTGAGAAGCACTGATCTAGATGAATGCGACCAAGCAATTCATGCCGTTTTATTGTTTTTAACGTTGAAATGGCAAGTGCAACAGGTGAAGATGAAGTTGTTGCGGAATTGTTGTGAGTATCCTTTTCAAGACGACAATTCAGTGAAAAGACGGACATTATAATGCCGCGGAGGGGGGGCTCTGGTGCTTAATCATAAGCACCAGAGCATTACCATCGTCTTCATTCATTATGATGCTATTTAATTGCTAAGTTTGCTAGTTTCTTTATTTAGTGGCAGGGTATCATTATTCACCTTAAAACGGGTAAACCCTTTGAAAAACATGAACCAAAACACCCAATAATTCCAGTGTAAAGTAAGTTATTTATGTAGCTTATATCTACTTAAGCATAATAAAGAGCGCTTGGGTGCAACATATATTTATAAAATCGGATACAAGCTGTAAAAGACAATACAGCGCATGACTGGGAAGCAAGAGGAAGCAATAATGTGGAGAGAGTGAAAGAGGAGAGTATGACAGCAGAGGGGAGGACAAGGTGACTGGCTCTATAACGGTGACACCACACAGCATGTCAAAACGGGAGGAGAAACTAAAAATACGATGTTGGGCCGCAGCCTGAACACAACGCGCGTGTGCACACATACTGAACACACACACACTGTAGTGTACAAGCACACACACATACTGTACACACACAGCGACAGCTCTCCCTCTGGGTGACGGTTCTTCTCAGTTATTAGTCTGGTGCCACAAGAGACGTGTGAACATATCAACACACACACACACACACACACACACACACACACACACACACACACACACACACACACACACACACACACACACACACACACACACACAGTTAAGTCAGGTGGAAATCCCATTAGAAGTAACAGAAAAATAATGGAGACTCCTGGGAAATAAGGGGGCAGCTAGAAGCAGCCAACCCTGCAATCAGGAGGCCACACGCTTTTAACCTAGTGCCGTCAGTCGATTAAAAGAAACAATGGTGTTAATCACAATAATAATAATAATAGGATGATGATTGATCAGAAGTTTAAAATAATAGTATTTACATGTTTTGGGGGTTTTCTCTTTCCTGTAGTGTGTTATATTGTTTTTTGTGCATGTAAATGGTCTGCAATGTTCCCTCCAAAGGGAGTTACTCTCCCACAAACTCCCCCCCCCGCCTGAAATGTCTGAAAAGAGTTGCTGCAGCACAGGCGGTATGAGAAAAATCAAGACCTTTTTGAACATCAAGGCATGGAGACATGTCACAGTAGAGGCAGAAAATACAAATATGAACCTAAAAATGAGCAGAATATGTCCCATTTAAACCCATCCTGCTCACTACGAGGCCCGATGGCAAAAGACAGAGATGGAGAGTTTTAAAAAAACAGGGAAAGCACTCAACCGAGCAGCACCGAATAAACATGAGGCTCTGCTCCTCTTCCCTGCTAACCCTCTTCCGTCTCATCGAAGCTGACTGAAGGTCCCCGAGCAGCAGAAAGGTTTTATACGAGTGTGCTGAACCCTTCAGTTCTGCTCTGAAAGCATGTGTGTGTATGTGTGTGTGTGTGTGTGTGTCTGTGTCTGTGTGTGTGTGTGTGTGTGTGTGTCTGTGTGTGTATGTGTGTCTCTGTCTGTGTGTGTATATGTATGTGTATGTGTATGTGTATGTGTGTGTGTGTGTGTGTGTGTGTGTGTGTGTGTGTATATATGTGTGTGTATGTGTGTGTGTGTGTGTGTGTGTGTGTGTGTGTGTATATGTGTATGTGTGTGTGTGTAAAGTGACGAGGGACTTTAACAATCCCTGACATGCTCCGCGGGAAGAGGTTTCAAGACTGTTTCCAAGGTTACAGGGAGCCTGTCCCACATGCTAGCGTAAAGCTAGCGATTAGCACTGCTACGCCCCCCTTCTTCCTCCTATCGCTGCTCCTCCATCTCACACTCCTCTCTTTTACTTCCTGACATACTTCCCTCTCTTCCCGTCTATCACCCTATCGATCTACGTCAGCCTATCCCTCTTCTCCTCCTCCACCCCTCTGCTCGTTCATCCATCTGTGTGTGTGTTCTCTGCATAAATCCTCCGCTGTTTATTTAGAGCTGTTCTCTGCTATTAAACCAATCACTCTGCTTGAGCAAGGAAATGAATAAACGCCCATCCTGACGCACGCATACAAATACACAAACATCTCACGTGGACGCGCCAACACACACACACACACACACACACGGTCCGTCAGTCTCAAGAGTGATCCATTGCTTAGCAACGCACCCATGGTCTTATTGTAATTCAAGGCTTGTTTGTAGCTTTTAGCAGCACTCTGTAATGACATGTTTAATACAGAGCTGAAGAAAAGAGTGGAGAAAGAGCAAGGGGGCCTGAGGTGGGACAAGAGGGAAGGAGAGAGACATTCAAGCAAATGAAAAGAGGGGGAAACAGGAGAAAGATGGAGAGGGAGAACTATATCTGAATGACCTTGACGTACGAGAACAGAGGCATTGCTATGCAGCACAGAGAGCCCAAAAGGAGCTTTCAATGAAACACGACCCATGACATAATTAGTCATTTGTGCAAGGAGGTTGAGGAAACATGACTTTGATCCAAAAAGAAAATGAAACCTCAATTATTCATGCAGCAAAATGAGGAATCATTTGCTCTGGTTCGTTTGGCCGAGGGGATCTACGCTCCCTGCAGAGCCGTTTCTGAGAGGAGGAGGAAATACATCAGGATGAGGTTTCAAATGACTTGAGTACACTTGGTTTAACTTGCCAGAAACTATTGGATGGGAAATGACTTGTGACAGTGTGATGGTCACCACACGACTGCGACGAGCATCTCAAACTTGTATCCAATGAAGATGCACGAAGCATTGAACACAAGTTTCTGTTTAACTTTGTTTAGCAGTTGACTGATCATTTTCAATATAGATTATTTTGCAGAATATGTTCCATTTGGTCTACAAAGAAATGTACATTCAAATACCTAAAAGGTCCAAGGTGATGTTGTTAGTTCAGTCTCAAACCCTGACTGAAAAACACAATTTCATGAGATTTCACAATTTTAAGTCTTTTAAAAGTATGTGTTTTATTTATAAATGTTTACATGGACTGCCCCCCCCCCCCCCGACCCCCCCCCCGCCCCCCCCCCCCCCCCCCCCTCCCTCTCTTAGGGGAATTCATCCACAGAAAACACACTGGACGCTGCAGTAGGTCAGAAACCAGAGGAGACTGTGAGGTCCACCGTAGACGGACCACTTTTGGACAAAATGTCCTCTCCACTAAAGGCAGCTCGTTGTGGAATAGCCTCCCAACTGAGATACGGGATCGTCCCACTCTCAAAAGCTTCAAAGGTCAACTCAAAGAATGGTTGAGAAACAAACAGACGTGCAATCACCGCTAAATGCACTTTAACACAGGGGTCTCCTCTTGTATCTCCTCTTGTACTTTATATGTCGTTGCTGCTATATTGTATCACCATGTCATAAATACTCGTGTGTGCTGCTCTTGCTCTCTTGCACCTTTTGCATATCATGTATTTTGTTTTTGCTATGTTTGTAAAATGTAAACTTCTTAAATGTTTTATGTGAGGGACTGCGGATGGAAATGAGCTCAAAGCTAAATCTGGCAATGTTACGCTTGACACATTTTAATGTTTTAAGTGTTCATTACTGTGCATTGTCCCCGCCAAATAAATGATTAAAATAACATTAAACAAATGTATCAACTTTAACATAAAGCAGATCAAAAGCTGGTCATTTCATATATAGGCAAGGCAACTTTATTTATATAGCACCTTTCAGCACGCGACAATTCAATGTGCTTTACAAAATAAAATAAGAGGCTAAGGAAAGAATTATCTGTCATTTCTGCAAAAACTATTTTTTGCAATTGACCTCAATTATCCAAATAGTTGATCTAATCACGGTAGCTGTGTGAGTGGTATCTCAAAGAAACCCAAATATGTTCACATTAATATTATAAAAAGCCGGTAAAAAGTTGGTCATCTCGTATATATCAGGCTAAGAAGAGTGTTGCGTCAGTTATGCATGAAAAATACTTATTGATGATCAAGTAAGTTAAAGATTGTTTGCTGCTGATCTGATCATGTAGTCTTTGATTGGTGCAGTGACTTTTCAAAGACATTACCTTTGATAGCGTTTTGCAGCATTGCTCTCTGGGAGTCTGAGTTTCCTCCGCTCTGTTTGCTGGAGCTGCTGCTGTCTCTCTGCCGGGCGACGGCCACCGCGATGCCCACAGGGGGGTGGCGTACCTCCCCCTCCGCCTCCCGCCCAAACGAGCGGGCGCTGTCCGGCCTCTCCTGCTCCCTCTTCAGGGGGGGCGGCACCCTCATGGATCCCACAGAAAGCCTCTCTCTATCTCTATCTCTGTCTCTGTCTTTGTCTTTCTCCCTCTCTCGTTCTCTGTCACCCTCTGAGACCACGTGAGCCAGACCCCCAAAGGGCCCTCGTCCCTCCCCTGTCTGCCTGGAGGCCCCGGGCCCCTCAGCAGCAAAGTTCCCGCTGTATTTAATGAGACTCTGCATGGCTGAGACCTCAGAGGGGTCCGGCCCCGCCACCCCGCCTCGCTCACCCGCCAACGACACCCCAGGTCTGTAGAGCGTCGCGGGGTCCAGGTAGCGTCTCTGACCCCCCTCCTCCCCCGGCCGCTGGGAGGGGTGAGTTTGAGAGGGGTGAGTTTGGGGGGAGTGCGGGGTGTTTCCTGCCCGGTGGGTCGTTGACATCTGTGTGTGTGCGGGGGAGGGGAGTGTGTGTCCGTGTTGAGCTGCGAGCGCAGCCATGTGACTCGTAGCATAATTAGTTAGCGGGCTAATCGTGTTCCATTTAGGCTCCGCCCCCGCCCGCTCTGTGCCCAATCTGATTGGCTGTTTGGAGACATCCGGGCTGAACCGTGACTGGCCGGAAGGGTACGACCCTTCCTGGCTTCGTTTTCCAATTGATCCATTGGAACAAATGACCGACCCTTCCTCTCTTTGATTGCCTGAATCGCCAGATTGGGAGAGTCGAGGGTGATCCGGCAGGCTCCTCTCTGGAAACCTGTAGCTCTCCCTCTCTCTCTCCCTTTCTCTCTCTCGCTCTCTTTCTCTCTCCCTCTCCCTCTGTTTGTTGTCCCGGGCCTGAGAGGCGATCTGGATCGGGCCGACCCGCTCGTCGTAAACCTCCACAGAAGGCACATATGTCGGTGCACTCACCCGCTGAGTCTCTCTGTGTGTGGAGGGGTGAGGCTGGGCAGAGGGGTGAGACGCGGGGGGAGGAGGGTGATGGTGGCCGTAGTCGTTTCTCCTTTGTCGGTCCGGGTTATTGGATTCTTCCCGAACCCCACTTTGAGGGAAGGTGTGAAGAGGGGGTGAGGGTCTGGATCGGGGCTCTGTGGAGTGAGTTTTCTGCTGGTGGGGGTGAGGGTGATGATGGAAGGGCCACGAGTCTCTCTCCGTATCCCTCTCTTTCTCCCTCTCTTTCTCCCGCTCCTCGCTCCTCCCGTCCTGCGTCAGGTCCACCACACTGTGAGGCCTCTGATCCTCTCTGGACCGTTCCCGTTCCCGCTCCCGTTCCCGCTCCCGTTCACGCTCCCGTTCACGCTCCCGGTCCCTCTCCCCACGGTAAGGCCGGTCCCTCCCCCCGTCCCGGGACGTCCTCTGTGGGGGGGTGGAGCTGGGCGGGGCGATGGGAGGAGCCGACGGAGGGTGGAGAGGCAACTGGCTCAACGAAGCTGGCAGGTAAAACCCTTCTGAAAACACACGGATAAGAAAATGAGTCTAAAACGATATATCCAGAGGTGGGAAGTAGTGCAGAACAAATACTTCGTTACTGTACTTAAGTAAATGTTTCTGGTATCAGTACTTTACTCCACTACTTATTTTACATGTTGAACCCAAATACCTGTACTTTCTACTTCTTACATGTTGAACCCAAATACCTGTACTTTCTACTTCTTACATGTTGAACCCAAATACCTGTACTTTCTACTTCTTACATGTTGAACCCAAATACCTGTACTTTCTACTTCTTACATCAGGGATCACCAACTACATTTGTCCAAGGGCCAAAATGTATCCAATAGACACTATCGCGGGCCAGCGATTTTTATACAGCCCAGAATTTTGAAGTGGGGGGGGGGGGTGCTAGTGGAGCACGCTCAGGTACTGTGGACCGCATAAAGCTTAGCAGACTCTTCACGCTAACGAAGGATCACTCCTAGGCAGGGTTGGGAGGGTTACTTTGTAAATGTAATCAGTTACTGAATACATGCTCTAAACGTAATCAGAATACAGTTACAGTTACGTGTCTTAAAAATGTATTCAGATTACTTTTGGATTACTTTATTTTTCCATAACAGATGGGTATGTTTTGGTGAACAGGAGACACTTATTTTACTGTTTTAATGGCTTATCAAGAACTCAAACACAACATTGGTGTCATTCTGGACAGCTCCCTCTCATCTGCACCCCACATAAAAAACATCACCCGGACTGCATTCTTTGTACTGTCTTAAAACCTTTCCTTGGAATATGTTATGAATTGTAAGGTGTCCTTGGGTGCTTTGAAAGGCGCCCCTAAATAGAATGAATTATCATTATTATGTATTATCTGAAACGATGTAATAACTTTTAAAACTTTTTCCAGTCACTTGCCCCATGCATTCAGCAGCAGCATGCCATTCACTTTGATTTGACCCCGTTATAAATGTCATCATTTCGACAATAAAGAAATGCTACATAAACGTTATCTTGCACATTTTATCTAACCATCTCCGTTTCTAACTTTCAATATAGTTTAAAAGAGATCTCTCTCTCTCATCTGCGTGCGGGGGCGGGGCCTCACAGACACTCTGCATCTCTCTCTCACTCACAGACATGCAGCGCCGTGCAGTGTGCACACAGTTCTGCCGGTAATGAATATTACATTTTGTGAGGAAACTTTTCCACCAATAATTCCAAAAAGTATTCCAAAATGTATTCACTTCAGGTTTACGAAAGTAACTGTAATCAGATTACTCGTTTTTCAAATGTAACGCCAGCTGAATACAGTTAGCCTACTTGATTTTTGTATTCTGATTACGTAACGCCGTTAAATGTATTCCGTTAAAACCCAACCCTGCTTCTAGGCTACTGTCCCGCAGCTCCTGCCTCTCTGTTGGACTCTGTCGCAGCGTGGCTACTGCTGTGGTGCGGAGCGCATTAACCAGACTCTTCACAACAAAGGATCAATTCTTGGCATGGAAGGTTTCGCAGTACGCAGGCTACTGACCCACAGCTGCTGCCTCTCTGTTGGACTCCGGTACTGCACCTTACTCGCGAGACGTTGTAAAAAAAGAAAATGGGTGGGAGGCGAACGCAGTAACCACTCCGCCAACGCCACAGTCACCCCCGTCGTGCGGGCCGGATGTGGCCCGCGGGCCGCCAGTTGGTGATCACTGTCTTACATGTTGAACACAAATACCTGTACTTTCTACTTCTTACATGTTGAACCCAAATATCTGTACTTTCTACTTCTTACATGTTGAACACAAATACCTGTACTTTCTACTTCTTACATGTTGAACTCAAATAGCTGTACTTTCTACTTCTTACATGTTGAACACAAATACCTGTACTTTCTACTTCTTACATGTTGAACTCAAATACCTGTACTTTCTACTTCTTACATGTTGAACACAAATACCTGTACTTTCTACTTCTTACATGTTGAACACAAATACCTGTACTTTCTACTTCTTACATGTTGAACTCAAATACCTGTACTTTCTACTTCTTACATGTTGAACACAAATACCTGTACTTTCTACTTCTTACATGTTGAACCCAAATACCTGTACTTTCTACTTCTTACATGTTGAACTCAAATACCTGTACTTTCTACTTCTTACATGTTGAACACAAATACCTGTACTTTCTACTTCTTACATGTTGAACACAAATACCTGTACTTTCTACTTCTTACATGTTGAACACAAATACCTGTACTTTCTACTTCTTACATGTTGAACCCAAATACCTGAACTTTCTACTTCTCACATTTTGAACTCAAATACCTGTACTTTCTACTTCTCACATTTTGAACACAAATACCTGTACTTTCTACTTCTTACATGTTGAACTCAAATACCTGTACTTTCTACTTCTCTCATTTCCCAAACAGCTGGTTCCTTTAGTCTGAATGTGTGTTTGATGCGTGATCATTATTCTTTAGAGTCATTGCGTGCCTATTGATTTGAACACGATCCGTGTATCCATAATTTCCTGGTCTTCTCTAAAGAAGAGGGACCAATGGAAACGTTGTCATGTTGCCGTTGTTCAGCATGGAAACATTCATTAGCTAACAATGACATTATTGTTCTATTAATATAAAGGGAGGTCAGGTACTCTTTAAAACAGCTGCTAGTTATGGGTACTTTTTACTGAAGTACATTTCAAAGCCTCTTTACTTTGACTTGAGTAAAGAAGTTTAGTCAGTACTTCTACTTTCACCAGAGTATTTTTAAACACGAGTATCTGTACTTCTACTTGAGTAAAGAAGGTGTGTACTTTTGCCGTCTGGATATATCTATATAGATCAGGATTATGAGAGAATCTGAACACTAAATGAAGCAGTTTGTTGTGAACATTGCTGACCTTTGTGTGAGTCGTAGAGCTGGTGCTGGGGGAGGGGGGAGGGGTCCAGGTGTCCCAGGGAGAGGTGGTAAGGGCTGGAGTATAGACTGCTGGGTATGGGAGGGTAGCCTGAAGACACACAAACAGAACAGGTCAATACGATGAGATTTTACAACAACTTGTTCTCCGGGTCTTCCTTGAGAACTTAAACAAAATGTGATTAATGGAGAATACCATCTGTGTCTCATAACTGTTGCAAAACAAGGGGACCCAGTCCGACTTGAATCCGTTGTATCCATTGCAGTTGGTCGTAGGTGAAGCTCAACAGGTAGGTAGGTAGGTAGAACTTTAAAAAAAAATCTTACACACATTCTTACACTGGTTTGGTTTATTAAAAGCAAATGAACTTGCTTGTCATTTTAAGTTTGTATTTTCATGGTAGATTGCACTTATTGTAAGTCTCTTTGAATAAAAACGTCATTTCAATGTAATGTTGTGTAATGTTGGGCGGGAGTCTGCCCGACAGCCAGCTGCTGCTCTCAGAGACGGGTCTTAATATAGATAAAGCCTAGTGCCGAGTGCAAGACTCTGGATCTGCGTGTCAGGACTGAAACTCTGATACTGGCTGGTAGGTGTCACCACATGTGAAAAGAAACACCCAGAGGGGGCGAGACATTCCCCGCTCCCACACTCAGACCACTCCAAGAAATATCAAAGACGCCGCCGGGCAGCAGAGCCGAAATATCAAGCCGTCTCCTCCTGATCTGAGGGGCAGAAATGGAGAAGCGGACGGAAATATAAGAGGAATGATGTGACGGGACATGCGTGATGAGTTTATAGCAAAGCTTCTTTCAACCACAGCTAACAGCTAGCATTGATCCAAGACAAAGCCAGAGTCTTCCTCTTTACCGCTGCACGGAAACATCTCCAGCTTTCAGTAACTGTAGCTTTTAGATCCAGCCACCAGGTATTAGGAATCTCTTAGGCTGTGAAACATCTCCCTTTGTATCAGAGCATTTGGAGGATCCTTTAGCCAGCAAGAGCTTGTAGCTTCTTTAGCTGCAGATACCTACTGCTCAACTCAGGATGAACTTTAAGTCGAGCACAAAAGGTATAGGGCTGTGCAATTATCGCAATTATGATTTTGGCCTGCCACAATTACGAAAACAACATCATTGAAAAAAACGATTATTTTGCTTTGCTAGGTTGTGACAGTGCACTGCAACATATTTGATCTAATTTATTTTATTTATATATGTTTAGTAGCTTGTGGAAGTGCGCGCCAAAATATTTGTTGATATTGTTTATTTGTATTTATTATTTTGATACTATTTATTTAAATGTAAATATAAATGTATCATTTATTTTGTATTGGTTTTTCAGTCGAATTATACGTTCAGGGTAATCAACAGTAAAAAGATACTGTTCAAATTATTATTTGTATTTGTTTTAAAGTTCAATAAATGGATGTTTTCAAAGTCAATTAATAATCGTATTTAATAATCAATTATTGACCAAAATAATCGTGATTATGATTTTTGCCACTATCGCACAGCCCTAAAAGGTACATCAGCGTTTAATCCGCTCCCTTCGTTGGAGGAATATAAAGTGCGACAGGATGTGTGTTTGGAGGCACCCGGGCCAGTGATTGCATTAAAGTTCAAAAGGGGCGCTACTATGCTCAATTTCAGGTGTATATCAGTATGTAGTGTCTCTACTGTGACATGTCTCCATGCTTTAATGTTCAAAAAGCTCTTCATTTGTCTCATACTGCCTGTGCTGCAGCACCTCTTTTCACCCTCTGTCTGAAACCAGAGCCCAGTCTGCTCTGATTGGTTAGCTGGCCGGCTCTGTTGTGATTGGTCAACCGCTTAGAGATGTCCCGCCCCTTAGCTATGATGTAGGCTAAGGGGCGGTTACATTCTAGGCAAAGAAATCTCTGGTTGAACTTCCTTTGTTGTATGTTCTGCAACTAAGAAACCAACTGCAATATATGTCCTGCTTACATCGGCACACGTATGCCCAGTGTACGTGAATGGTCATGTGATGCAGGTTTTCGGCCGCGTTAGTATAGATGGAAATGATTGTGGATGTGGCTTTAAGCTCAAACTCCTTCACACTTATATATCTTGAGTGAATAATCTGCACAGAAACCAAAGTGTAACGGAACAAATTCACCATGTTACGGTGGTTTACTGAGACGTGCCAGACTATTTTTGGCTCCGAGCAGTTGCCAGGGAACCAGCTAAATGTCCAGGAAGTTACTCCTCCGATTATTCCCTTTAAACATAGTGCACCCTCTTTAACTGTGAATCAAACACAGCAAAATGGAGATAGAAATCATACCGAATCTGATGCGTTTGGGAAGCAGTGGATCTGTGTAAGCCCTGCGATCAGTTTTAAAAATGAGCTCTAAATAGAAACCATTCATCCTTCTCTCTTTACCTTACCGAAATGCAGTGCGGGATACACACTGCCATCTATCTGACCTTCTACTCCAGCGAGATTTGATAAGGAGACGTGGAAGGACACGAGGGAAAGAGGAGAGATTCAATCACCTGCAGAGCGAGTCTTCACAAGAGACAGAGAGGTCCGTAGAGACCCAGAGATATAAACCTGAGAGTCTGAAACTGTGTTCATAAGGTAGGTCATAGAGATGTAGTGGGAAAGTGGGGCAGGAGAGCTACAGATGGAGACAAAGTGCATATTGGACCTAAAAGAACAAGAGGGAGGAAGATAGATTACAGAAACGCGTGGCAGGCGAAAGTACCAGACAGGTGGAGGACGGAGGAAACGAGATGCATATAGGACACGGCTCGGAGCAAAGAGATAGAAATGGAACAAGATCCCAGCGGCGTTCGCAACGAGAGACAGAAGAGACTCTCCTGGGCTTTGGACAAAAGCGAACTGTGAGAGAAATGTAGTGAAAATGTGATGCATCTTCAACAAACTGGATTCTGTAGCAACCCAGAAAAACCGAGCCCTAGTTGTAAAGAGTGTGTGGTGATTTATGGGGATACAGCGGACTATCATGGGCATGTTTTGCTTTCATCGACACATCTTCTCAAAAGGTGGCATGCTACAGTGTTTCTCTGTTGTGCTGGGATGAGATGAATGCACACACCTGGCCTGCACAATTCATTGACATTGTACAGAAATCACAGTGTGAAGTAGTGCAATAATAAAAAATGCAGGATGTGCAATTTTGTTTAAAAGGCTGAATAGTTGTTAAAATAACATTTTGAATGAATTATTGTGGATCTTCAAAGATATCCTGGACTACGAATATTTGTTTGTAGTCGAGCCGTATTATAGTTGCTCGGTAGGGATACAAAACATAATTGCAATATCTGTTAACATTAGGGATGTCCCGATCACCTTTTTTTGCTCCCGATCCGATTCCGATCATTTGATTTTGACAATCTGCCGATACCGATTTTTCCCGATCCGATCTTTATGAAATGCATTAAAAAAAAAAAGGTAACAGATAACGGCTGGCCATCCAATGCGATGAATTCAGCGATCTTGGCTGTTATTTTTTTGGCCTTTTCACTGTTCTGGGGCAGTTTCTCTTTCCTTTTAAAAGTCTCCTTCTTGCAAACATTGCATCCGGCTGTTACACTGCCTTCACTTTCAATATTATAATACTTCCAAACTCCTGACATTTTCTCTGTCCCGACTCCCGAGTCACCAGCTGAACGTAGCCTCTCGTTAGCTTACGGCTACTATTAGACACTGCGCCCACCCTGTTGCCAGCTTTGAGAGAGATAAGCAACCAGGTCTGAAAGCAAGCCCAAAAGAAGCAACACATACATGATGTGTAATTTTAAACCAAAACTAAGGCCTCAGGATAAGTTTAAGACGTGAACATGGTCATATTTGTTTTGTAACATTAAATTAAAAAAAATATATTTTATAAAAAAAAAAAATTTAAATCCCGATCCCCGATTTTTTTCTCCCGATTCCGATCTTTTGAAAATCACGTGATCGGATCGGGACATCTCTAGTTAACATTATTACAGTAAGTCATTTTTGAGAATTGCAAAAATGTGTCATGCTTTGCTAAGAGCAGTGTTTCGCCTATATACAAATAGCGGCGGCAAATAATAATATGTGGCGACCCTTTTAGATTTTTGATTGTTTGTTATGTGGATTTGTAGTATTTGTGTTACTGTATGTTCAATAAAGGTGTATTTTGCTAAATCTTGAGACATTGCCACTGTATGTATGTTATGTCCCCTTCTAGGGTAGAGGAACACAACACACCAGAATGGATTTGGTTATAATTATAATTATAATAGGGTTTAATAATTAACAATGAAGGTGTACAACAAGATGAAACTAGCCTAAGCCAAACAAAGGAGCCAAAAGGGCGCAGGTATCCCGCTGAATAACAGAAGGAGGACTCCAAAGGTGAGCCTAATCACACACCTGAAATCACTAATCAATCACCACTAATCGGAGGAGGCTGCGGGGAAATGCAGCTAACCAAGGGGTAACAAAACACACTACTCTCAACACATAACACTACTCTATACACATAACTAAACACCTCTAACACACAACACGGGTCAGAAATAGTCAAATACACTCTACTAGCTTAATGTGTCCACACAGGAACAAGATGAGTGAGGCGTCTGATTGCAACAGAGCCTCCCGAGTGATAGCTGTCCCCAGCTTTGTAGTTATCTCCAGCAGGTGTGCGCCGGCTGTGCGCTGCGATTGGGGTGCGTCGGGCCGGCGTGCTACAATCACAATCTTCAGGAGGCGGACCAGGAGATGGCAGCCAATCACGTCAGGGCATCCGCACAGCTCATTTACATACAACCCAGAGTAACACAGTTAAGATGACCAGGGCTGCTTCTCAGGTCGACTATTTTCATTTCCTCGCTCCTCGGTCCTCGGTCTCACCGGAAGTTGATTTGCCTGCGCCATCTTGAGTACCGTCCCATGGCTCTTATTTCTGCCGGAGGACCGAGGATCGAGGAGCGAGGAGCGATCATGGAGGAGCGATAACCGAGGAACCACCAGACCATCCTCCGATGAAATCCTCAGATACTCACCCCGCCCCCTTACTGTGTATCGCTCACTGATTGGACGAGGCAGTGCATGCACTGATCTGATGCTTCTTGACATGAGAGCAATACCCCAGCGGAGTGAAGAAAATACATGAACCTCACGGGACTCACTCCTCAGTTTATACCGTGTTTTGTTTCAATTCATGTTTCATTTAGTTACAAATATGTGATATATCTAAACAACAAAGTGGTCAAACATCATTTTATTCATTTATTGGAAACATTTTCATGATCGCTTTTTTCGTTTATATATTTTAAGAATGGCGTTTATCTTTTTTGAGAATGACTTCTTATTTTATTTCATGTATTTGGATCTACAACAGATGATACTAATGTTTATGTCAGTAAATTTGCACTAACAGAGGCGGGGGTGTTTGTGGAAATAACGGGTACAGAGCAGGGTTTCCGTTAGCCGGTAATTGCCGGTTTTTAGCTGGTAAAATGTATTAAACACCGGTAAATTCAAAACCTGCCGGTCAAAATGTCCGGTAATAATTAGGGATGCTCCGATAGATCGGCCACCGGTCATTATCGGCCGATATTCATTCTTAATAGTTTGATCGGTGCTCTCTATAAAGCCCGATCAGGACAGCTGGATCTGATCGATATGGACATAAACGCGAGTGAAGTATAACCGGACACGCGAGAGAGATCAGATCAGCTGCTGAGTCTGACCGAGACACGCAGCTCTGCATAATCACCTGAAGCCCCGCCCACTGCTGTCAGGAGAGAGAGGGAGGGAGAGGGGAAAAGAGAGGATCCGTTTCTCCCGTGTTATTATTCAAAGTTAATGTACACTTTTGAATAATGTACTTCATCTACTACAAGTAGTTTGTTTGAATGTAATAATTATGTTGTTTGTTTGTGGAATAATTTATTGGAAAATGAATCTGAATTTTTCGATCTGTTACGATTATAAACTGAAGCAATATAAAAATGAGCCCATTAACTGAGTTTTAAACATCAGCATATCCGGTAATAGTCCTGTAATTCCCTGCTAACGGAAACTCTGCTACACAACTCTTATTATTATGATTGAAATATGACCGCTAAGTTTCAAATTTGTCCGATAAAATAAATTCTGCCCGGACATTTGACCGGCGAGAAAAAATCCTAGCGGATACCCTGGTACAAAGCTGGCTGCTGCCAGACGAACAGCTGTGCAGCGTCATCACAAACGGACGTGACACTCCGGAGGAAAGGACGTCCCATTGCTCTTAAAACTCATTTCCCTGCTTCTCGTGGTTTCCTTGCGTCCCTCCATGCTTCCCTGGTGGGAGGGACTAAACGCAGGGAAACGACGCAAGTGAGGGAAGCAAGGATTTCATTTAATCGACCTGAGAAGCAGCCCAGGAAGACAGCAGCCGTGACAATGCACTAGGCTTCAAGAGCCTTTCTTGTGCTGGCAGACACATAGAAACATATTGGCGTGCACTTCGCACGCACTAAAAAATTCCACACGCTCCGCGCTCACATTTTGCTGGGCCTTAGCACCGCTCCATCCTAGGGGTAACACTGAAGAGCTTGTTCTGCATTTATATAATGTAATTATTAAATTGTATTAAAGGAAATGAAATCCTATTAAAACATGTCTTATTATCATACAAAGGATTTAGTGTAATAAAATATGGAGACAGTCTAACCTGACCGTTGGTACTTAAAATCTTCTCATTGTGTCTGTTATTGTACAGCAGGCTAAAATACTTTTGTTAAACTTATATTTAGGAAGTTATGTTCATTCAAAGCTAAAACTGTATCCTCGACACATAAGGGAAAACAATTATTTAAAAAAGAAACAGAAAAATTATGAAAACATTGATCAGCTGTAGGGCTTCAACAAACGACTCATTTGATAATCGATTAATCTATCGATTAATGAAACGATTAATCGACTATTCAGACTATTACGCCTTGCACAATTTCTCAAACGCTCTTATTTAGCCATCAACTTTTAGATTTAGCTTGAGGTTGTTTTAGGCATGTGGAAACTAACAATGAAGACAATAAAGATGAATACTTGATTCAAAAATACATATTATTAAATTAACTAAACAAATTGTGAACAAAACTAACATTGCTTTTTATTTAAATTAAATAAATAATATTTCACATCAAAAGAAAACATGTTTTAACAAATCGTATTAAATAATCTGATGACAGAACTGTGAACAGAATAGCTGAAACTTTAACAAACTAAATAACTTAGTTTCCTCTAATCATTAACCCATGTTTGTATCATGGAGTTAACTCCGTGTGTTGCTGCTAGCATACATAACACCTGACGTGGAAACGTTACTCGTGGATGGAGCTACAGAGCTGCTAGAAACACAGTCGAACCCGGTGCATTCCTCCGTCTGGATGTGGAGCACTTTTGCTAAATGTTTAGACAAATTGCTCGTGTTACCGCCCTTACATGCTAAACACTTATTGCACTTTTGGTAACGAGTATTTTAGCACCGAAAAAATATCACCGAATGTCAGAACAGGTTTACGTTGGTAACCTAACGTGTTGTTGTGATGACGTAATAAAGACGCGGCGACCATGCTCGCGGCTGGCTCACAGGGGGGGGGGAACATTGACCTTTGTCATCGAGATTGCCCTGAGCCTTTAACAAATCGTATTAAATAATCTGATGACAGACTGTAAACAGAATAGCTGACATGTTAACAAACTAAATAACTCAGTTTCCTCTAATCATTAACCCATGTTTGCATCATGTAGTTAACTCTGTGTGTTGCTGCTAGCATACATAACACCTGACGTGGAAACGTTACTCGTGGATGGGGCTACAGAGCTGCTAGAAAGACAGTGGAACGGTGCATTCCTCCGTCTGGATGTGGAGCACTTTTGATAAATGTTTAGACAAATTGCTCGTGCTTACATGCTAAACACTTATTGCACTTTTGGCAACGAGCATTCTCCACATCGAGACGGGTAAAGTGTAATCACCTCGGAGCGCGTTCTCTCCGCCATCTCCGCAGTGTGCTCCGCTGCATGTAGCAGCTGCGTGTGTGTAAACTGCCCCGCCCCCTCGCACACAGACGGGGAGAGAGATCTCGTCTGATCGAAAATACATCATAGATGCATTTGTTTGTCTTTTTGCATGTTAGAAACGAGTTGGCGACACTAAGACTGCGAGATAATGTTTTTGTACCAATAATACATGACATATTTTTTAAATGTCTCCAGTACCGATAAAAAGACCAATAACGTTGGAGCTTAACGGCGCGTAAAACACATGTGATGACGTCACCAACGAATCGACGACTGAATTAGTTGGCAACTAATTTGGTAATCGATTTTAATCGATTAAGTCGATTAGTTGTTGCACCCCTAATCAGCTGATAAATAACCAATCGGTGCGTCTCTTGTGATTTACCTTCGTGAGCTTGTGATGCCCAGAGCTGAGCCATCTGCAGACTGCTGGGATTGGCCGGTCTGTACCCGGGGTCAGAGGTCAGGTGGGAGGGGCCGTGGTAACCAGACAGGAAGGGACTGGAGCCTGCAGAGTAGGCATCGCCTGAGAAAAGAGAGAGAAGACCGCCAGTCAGTCTCAAAACAGCACTGAAGAATAACAACGTGGCTTTATTCCCATTCAATACGGCCGCTCTGAGGCTAAACTTCGCTCATCGTATAAATAATGAAGTCTGTACTGAACTCGACGTTTTAAGGATATTTAATATTGTAAATCGAAACGATAAAAACAGAATCATACGGTCAACAAAATATATCAGAGCTAAGCTAACCCCTATAGAGAACCGCAGTGACGCGTCCTAAAACCAGGAAGTAAACTCCTTCCGTTTCCTTCGACAAAAACCAATGCAATCTCTCCATAGGATTTTGGAAAATAGCTGGAAATAAGGTCTGTGGTTGAAACACATTTAAGAGACGGATCACGTTTTGTTCAGCGGATAATCTCCACATGTCTATCCTACTTTTATAATTTTCTAATCAGAAATCTAGTCGCAAGAAGCAAAATGCTAACGTTATGCTATAAAGCAGGGGTGCCCAACCAGTCGATCGCGGGGAGATTCCCAGTCGATCGCGAGATGTGTCTAAAAATAGAACAACAATATTCTGTTTTATCGTTAATGTCCTGTAACATAATCTTCCTGTGGCAGAATAATGCACTTGAACGCATCAAAGCTTTGTGATTGGCCGGCGTGACCCCATGTGTCGGGGCGTGGCTGTTGAGCAGTGGGCACTAGTTCGCTAACGTTGTCCGTGTCAACAGGAGTGACAGTCCGCACACACAAGACCGCAATTACGGCAGAAGCAAAACATATATAATTTTCACTCCGAGTGGGAGGATGATTATTTTTGTATCTATTCCAATTCAAAGTCCATCTGTCTCATCTGCAATGCGAGCGTGGCTTTATCGAAGAAGGGTAATTTAGGAGCGGCATTTCAAAACAGTGCACAAACGCTACGAGACGGAATTCCCTCCTAATTCTGCCCTACGCTCCAAAAGGGGAGGGGCCTGAAAGGACAGCTAAATGCACAGCAGTCCATTTTCACCAGGCCCAACAACAAGAGCAAGGCTGCTACCAGAGCATCTTATCGTGTCAGTCACGTTCTTGCGAAACACATGAAGTCTTTCAAAGACGGCGAAGTTGTGAAAGAAGCATTCCTGGAGGCTGCCGATGCGTAATAAAATAACAGAAGCATTTCAACAGGTTTTTGATATGATAAAAACTCAAGTTAGATACCGTTATTAATCAGCTGTAAGTTTGAGTTTGTTTGAACTTATTCATTATAATTATTGTACAAAATGGTATAAGAATGCAAACATTAAGATCTGTTCTGTTTAAATTGATTATAGTCTATTATCAATTCAGGTTAAGAAACTAGTGTTGCTTGCATCCTATTTTAAAGGCATTTCTTTTTTTAATCTACTAAAATGCAACAAAAAAGGGTTTGATTCTATTAATTTTGTCCTTTTTATTGCACTTTGGCAGCAGATTCCTGTGTAGCTTCAGATCTGAGTTGTCTTATTAGTAAGCCTAATTTATACTTTTGTAGCAACACTATTTTTATATAATGGCAAAGAAAGAGTCTTTTCTTTTTTCCCTGAGTCATATGTGGCAGCACTGTTCAATGTTTCTTGAAAACATCACCCACTGTAGTGACGTGTGAATAAACTCCAACTCTGTATCAACAACACTGTTGTGTAACTTCAGTTAAATACTTGTATGTGTGTAGATTAGAAAGAGGTAAGATAAAGGATCTGCAGTATTTTATGAAGTATTCATCGTACAAAGGTCAGTTTTATACAAGTAGAAGTGTGTATTTACCTGGTAGGAGGCTGTCAGTAATGGCTACGCCTCTCTATTTGGACTGGTAGATCTCGGCAGACTGGCAACTTTAAAAGTAGCTCTCAGTTCAAAAAAGGTTGGGCACCCCTGCTATAAAGGAAGGACAGCAGGGTCGCTGCTTCAACGTCACGCCAACTTAAGATCCATATTCAAACATACAGATTGTAAATGGAACAAGTTGAAGTGTTTGTTTGAACAGTTTGCAGGAGGCAGGGTACTTGCTTTCAGGCAGAACAGGGCAAACAAACTTAGAGGAGTGTTTACGTGTTCGGTGTCATGACGTAAAACGGCCTCCACAACTTCTGTAGTCCTATTCAGCCACTTGGTAACAACCATCGTTTTTCAGACACGTCAACTCTTCAGAAATCACCAGTGGGGTCACTGCTGATGTGTTTAATGTCGTAGAACAAAACGTGATCCGTCTCTTCAATGTGTTTCAACCACAGACCTTATTTCCAGCTATTTTCCTAAACTATGGAGAAATTGCTTTGCTTTTTCTCGAAGGAACCGGAAGTGGTAAAAATGCAAACTTACTTTACGGGTTTTAGGACGCGTCGCTGCGGCACTCCATTGTCATGCTACCAAACCTCCACATGTCCTAAATACCATTAACCACACCATGTGACAATCCCCGGAAACAACCAATTACAAGTGTGTGTGGTGTTAACAAATAATGAAGATAATATAAGTATAAACACAGACTACCGCAGCATTTTGGCTCCTACAAGCAAAGATGATGGAAGCACCAAATCCTCCATTACAGAAACACAAACCAGAGAATGTGAAAAATGACTTTTAAACCATTATCTGTTATAGCTGTTTTCTCCCAGCTGATTGTTAAGATTAGGTAATGGTTTCAGATCAAGTCAACCTCGAGCAAAAATCCAAACATAAAACATTTTTTAACAGTTATTCAGCAGCACGTATCTTCAAACTGTTTCTCGTTTGTGATCCACAGATATTCCATCCCTGCGTGAATGAGACCTTGTTTGCCCAGCAGGACACCAACGTCCAAATCTAATATTTACTCTGACTGCTGCGGCCTGTACAGCAGACTTTATTGATGTCAATGAGTCAAGAAAACGATGACTGAATAGGTTCGTTAACAAGGTTTTTTCCCCATGACTAAGAGGAAATGATGGCGAGACGAAACTGACATCATTAAACACACAAAGTGACTATATCAACATGCAATAATGTCAACGGAAAATACTTACATTTCGATAAGAACAAAAATTCTCTGTTGACTTTAGTTGTGAAAAGAAAGGATACAAAGAATTATAATGTTTTTTTATTTTATTAAAAGCAGCAATGAAGTTGTTTTACTTAATAAAGTTTACAACATCGACAGCATGGCTTGTAGAAAAACCAAGGTGGATATTTTGGCTAGACTCAAATGTTCAATACAATCTGAAGACTAAAACAGTTTTCATTGATTTAGACCAAAACACTTAGTTTTCTTTGACTAAGATAACACTAAAGTGCTGGCTTCAACACAAGCACACACACACCCTTTCATTCCGATGGTGTGTGTACACATACACAGTGACGTCCCCATTAACATCGACAGGACAAATCCTCGTGAAACATCTCAGCATGATGCCGCTATCGATTGTTATTTTATTAGACCGCTCCACCCGCCTGCACGTGTGACCATTAATAAACTTTGAACCTTTGAACCGTCCTCCAATCACAACGTCCGTCCGGAGAGATGGAAAAGGTTTCATGTTTATCTCCCCCCCCACACACACACACACACACACCCTTCACCCATTACTGAACGCACTGCATAGCCATTACCCTGATAAAACTAACCATGTGTGTAGGGGAAAGGGTGCCATCTGTATATGGGGAAGGGGGAAGGGGCTGAGTGTGTGTGTGTGTGTGTGTGTGTGTGTGTGTGTGTGTGTGTGTGTGTGTGTGTGTGTGTGTGTGTGTGTCCTGTGGGAATCTGTGGGACATGCTGTGCTCCACTGCATCTAAATCAGTACATTAAAACCACGGTCCGTCAGCGCCTATGCGCACACACACCGACACACACACTTTCAAATCAATAGCAAATGCAGTTTTCAAATGAATCACACACACACACACACGCACACACGCAGGAGAAATGCAGTGTGTTTCTTAAAAATGCAGTGAAGGTAGATGTTTTCACACTCCTAGCTTACAAGATGTATTCATCGCTGTATGATCACTGACATGTGTGTCAGTTTTGTGTGGGTTTGGAGCGAATGCCCTTTGAGTCAGAGACACTGCAGGAGCTTCAAACACACACACACACACAAAATCACATGCATAAGAAACCACACAATCACGCCAATTACTGGGAATATGCAAACACACACACACACACAGTGATTAACCTTCAGTTAGTCTCAGTACATTAACTCTGCAGGAAAACACACACACACCCCCCCTCCTCTGTCTTGTGGAACGCTGAGGCAGCAAAAACAGAAAACTTACGGTGTGTTTTGTCTAATAATACAATCTATTATTCATCAGAGCGGAGACTTATTCACACACTGAAGTGATTTCACTACTTTGTCCGGTCTCATCTGTTTTTGGCATCGTCGCTGTAAAAGGAGAACCATGCATCTCATTATTTGGTGACTTTAAACTGAAAGGATTAGACGTCTTTTGTGGAAACCTGTTGCTACTGGTGACAAAAGTCAGTGAGGTTTAATGTTACAGCAAACACTGGTGCAGCAGGAGAGGTTTGGTGAGTTCATAGAGATGTGATACAGAGCAAACAGTGATGCTGTTGGTGATGGTATAGATAAAGTGGAAAAGCATGGACCTCAGCCAAGGCTCTCTCTCGCATTATAATACATTCATTATAATTCATACTAATTCAAAACTGTAGCATTTGTAATAAACACATTTTAACCTATTTGATATGGCTATTAACTTGACTTCTACTGAATATTGTTTCTTAACATTAAAATAAATACTGTCTCAAAGATAAAAATGTTAATCTCATCAAAAGTCATTTTAGTGATGGTTTCTCATAAAAAGCGACAACTAGTATATATTTAATTCTGCTGGGTTAAAAACACATTATTATTTTATGCTCGTCATAAGTCATACATAACGTGGCTCTAGGTTTCATCATGACCAAACCCGTCATGACTTTTATTTATAATTGGGTAATGGGAGTTATTGAACCCATTTTCCCCACCACCATCCCCTCCATGTGTGTGTG